ACTACACTTGGCTGTACAGCTCTGGTACAGCTCTGTACTAATCCACACTTTCCACACCCGCATGGAAAGATTCCGCAAAATGATTTTTGCCATCATTTTAACCATGTCTTAAATTGTATGAAAAAAATTAAAATGTCAAAAAAGGATGGAAATTAAGCTGAAGAAATTTAAGTGAAAAAATGTGAATGAACCATTGATTTTTATGGAATTTGAATTAAGCCATTAAATTCTATGCACATTCAAACCCAGGAAATAAATTTGAAATTTCAAAAAAACATAAAAAATAAGGTACATACATGTGTGCAAACAATTAATTTAGAAATGAGTGAAAAAAATAATTAATAATCAAAATTCATTTTTATGGAAAATGGTTTTTACCATTAAATTCTACACCTTTTAAAGTGTAGGAAACAACTTTAAAAATCCAAAAAAACTCAAAAAATAAGTGGTAAAAAATTATATACAAAACCGTGTTTAAACGCGGAATCCGTGTGTGCTGTGCCGCAGCAAAACCGTGTGTAAACGCGGAAAAACCGTGTTTTTTTATTAATGCCCAAAAATTAAATACAAAACCGTGTGTAAACGCGGAATCCGTGTGCGCTGTGCCGCAGCAAAACCACGTGTAAACGTGGAAAAACCGTGTTTTTTTATTAATGCCCTAATTAAAATTCATTTTTATGAAAAATGGTTTTTACCATTAAATTCTACACCTTTTAAAGTGTAGGAAACAACTTTAAAAATTCAAAAAAACTCGAAAAATAACCCATAACAAATTAAATACAAAACCGCGTGTACACGCGGAATCCGCGTGTGCTGTGCCGCAGCAAAACCGTGTGTAAACGCGGATTTACTGCGTTTTTTTATTAACGCCCTTAAAAAAATTGCTTGATGCTTTGAGGATGTTATGAGCTCTAAAGATCAACATATTCAGCAAGATTTTAATTTTCACTACCTTGGATGGACAGCGTCGAAACTACATGCTGGAAAAATTAAAGAGTGAATCTACAAGCTTTTTTGGTGGATGGTCTACTGCGAGCACCCCCGCTTTGATCGTAAGTGGAGGGGGCGCTTTGCGCCCAGCCAGTGCCACACCTAAGGGATTACTCCGATGGCCGGGATTTCGGGGCTGCCCCGGGACCGAACCCCGGTTATTGGGAATCGGGATGGGTATCTGCCAAACCCCGAAACCCCGGGGTTTACTGTTTATAGGGATTTTCCCTGATTTTTCCTTGTTTTGGCGCGTATAACAGTTTTTTTTTTTTCATTTTCACATGTGCGCTTCATTGAAAAAGAAAAAAAAGGGTTGAAATGGGCCATCAAAGTCAAAAAAACAAAAACCAATCCCAACACAGCACTTCTGGTTGAGACAGGTAGGTAGTGCTGGGCCGTAGTGCCATCATTGGTCCAGAAAAAAAAAATTATAGCAAGCCCCGGGGCTTCGGGGCAGACCCGGAATTCCCGGGGTTCGTTCCTCGGGATGACCCTTTTGCCCCGTCCCGAGCCCCGGGGTAATCCCTTAGGGCCCACACCAGCGTGCCTCCCACCAGGGAGGACTTAGACCATCTCCACCGCATTAGACTATCTGAGTGCCCAAATCTCAAACTCGCGCGACTGCGGCGCATTTTTAGGTCCCCACCTAGAGATGCCTTCACACCGCAAGGTCCTAAATATAGCACCTGAGGAGTGTGAAAGGGCATTCCCCGACTCCCCCTCGATTACACCACCCTCCCGGGCCCCCCATCATCCAAGTGTGATCACGAAATCAGCCACAACAATTCTTCCAAACGACCAACAATGGAAATCAACCGCGACTTATTGAGGATACTAATCCAACGAAGGCAAATCATTGCAAGATCCAGAACAATAATCAACCAAGCTCTTCAAATCACACCGATGTTACTTGAGGACGATGAAGCAACGAACATTATGGATTCTAGCCATCCTGGTGGATCAAGACCTGGGAAACAGCCCAACCTGCCCCGCGACTTTGAAGGAAGTTACCAAAGACTTCTTGAACATTACTTTGGTGCTCATCCTCTCTACAACGAACAGACTTTCAGGCGCCGTTTTCGAATGGGGCGGCCGCTTTTCCTGAAAATTGCCGAAGCTGTTGAAGAATTCGACGAATACTTTACTCTCAGACGAGATGCGTTGGGGAAATTAGGCCTGAGGCCCCTTGTGAAAATCACTGCGGCTTTGCGAATGCTCGCCTACGGAGCTGCTGCCGACTGCAACGACGAGTACCTTCAGCTCTCCGAATCAACATCGCTCGAGTGTATGGATTGATTTTGCAAGGCAATTGTGGCTATCTACTCAGCCGAATACCTTTGACACCCAACCCCAGCCGATCTAGAAAGGCTTCTCACCCAGGGTGCCAAAAGAGGATTCCCCAGGATGCTCGGATCACTTGATTGTATGCACTGGGTGTGGAAAAACTGCCCATCTGGTTGGGCTGGACAGTTCCAAGGCAAAGAAAAGGTAATTTTTATGTAGACGCTCTGATCTATCTCTCATCCTCTTACTAAAGGCTTGCTTTGTGATGCTTTCCAGAGGCCAACCGTCATTCTCGAAGCTGTAGCATCCCAAGATATGTGGATCTGGCATGCCTACTTTGGCATGCCTGGTTCACACAACGACATAAACGTACTCGACACTTCACCTCTCTTCGCAAACCTATTGAACGGTCAGGCACCACGATGTGAATACACGATCAACGGGCATGACTATCAACAAGGGTACTATCTTACCAACGGAATCTATCCCGATTGGGCGACCTTTGTCAAATTGATGTCGCAGCCTCAAGGAGCGGAGCAGAGGCACTTTGTCAAGATGCAAGAAGCCCGACGGAAGGACGTGGAGCGCGCTTTTGGTGTACTTCAAGCCAGATTTGCGGTAGTTTCTCGACCGGCCCGAGGCTGGAAGCATCACAATCTGAATTATATCATGAAGGCATGTATCATCCTCCACAACATGATTGTGGAGGATGAACGGGATTCATACTTGGAATATACATACGACCACACCCCTGCAGCCATCATTACACCCATAGAAATATCGCGCGATGAACCACCGATTTCTTTTTCTGATTTTATTGACAACTATCAATCAATGAAAGACACTGGTACTCATTTTCAGTTGCGCGCCGATCTCATCAAACATCAGTGGGAGATTAAAGGTCGCCAGGAAGACAGTGATTTTGATTCTTAATTGTGCACGTAGTTTATCATCAGTATTTTGCTAGCTGTGCTCACATGTTTGTTTCATTCTTTCATTCCGATTTGTTTCATTCTTTCATTCCGATTATAAACTGAAATCCCATATTAAACCTATTGACCTTGAGAGATAACAACAAGACTATGTCTTGACTTAAACTTAAAGAATATTTTGATTCTAGTGATCTTGAGAGCTTTGAGAGATAAGACCAGGCCACACCGTTCGGAACTAGATCGAAAAGTGGATTCGATGCTCTCTGACACAATCGACTGATTCATTGTTTTTTGTTCTTAGGAAAATAGTTGTATCTTTCAAATAAATAATCGATTAGATTAAATCTGAAAGCAATAAAAGGAGGCAGTTCAAAACAGAAAATTGCATTTGATTGAAAGGGATCGCATAAACATTTGAGATAGATAACAAAAAACACTCTGTTTGAATTGCTGATAACAAAAAATTGTGTATCGATCAAGCGAGAATAAAAAAAAACAATAATACAACTACTGGTTTGAGGTGGAGCCAGATCGAAGAGATTGGAGGATTTGAGCCCTCTTGAGCTTAAAGTACTCCTGCTGCTCATCATCAAGACCATTGAGGCTCTGGGTCATGATGGTGAGCTCCGCAGCGGTTTCTCCATTGTCAGCCATCGATTTGAGGGATTGCGAGTCATTGGTGAAGATGTCGTTTAGTCGAGTCGATTCGGTAGCAAGTTTCTTGTGAGCGCTTGCAACATCTTCCTTCCACTCTAGATCTTTTACAGCGAGTTGGTTGAGAAACTTGGCCTTCTTATTTCCTATAGGTCGGTCGAGTTTTTTTGGATCGGTAGAAGTGCCCTCAAAATCGGAGACAGGGTCCGATGGTGCAGCAGGATCGGATTGTGCTGGTGTCGATGCAAGTCTGGTCGATGCTGGCGCTTCACTACTAGGGCTTCTGGCTCGTTTTTTCTCTCCCCTCTTATCGTTATCGCGGCAGTAGTTGTGCCATTTGGGACTTTTGGCGAGGAGGTTGTAGCAGCGGAGATACTTGAAATGAGATTGCTGGTCCTGCGAGTAAAGGCGGAGAGCTCGGTTGAGCTGATCTTCTGCAGATGCCCCGCTCTCGTTGCGAGATTCGACAAGGTTGACAAAACCACGAAATTTATTGATCGATGGTTGTAAGTAGTTGCTCCATCTCTTCTTCAAGCTATCGACGGGTCGAATTGGGTCTGGAACCGCTTCGTGATATAACGTGGAAACGCGAGACCAGAACGTGTTGCCATCTTGATTTGTTCCAACCATGGGGTCTTCAGATACCTGAACCCAGGCTCGACATACCTCGAAGTCCTCGGGTTCGGTATAATTGGGAGCCTTCTTTTTTTTGGCTGGATGATTGGGAGCCAGATAGGTTAGTGGGTCAGAAAATGAACAAATGAAAAGAAAAAAACTCACTGTTTTCGTTGTTCTCTTCGTCATCATTGTCATCTAGAGATGGATCAACATTTTGAATTCGCTTTCTGGCCATCGCTGTCGTTTCGTATGTATGTGTTGGCGATATTGGTGATTGGTGGTGTATGTGTTGGCGATATCGGTGGTGTATGTGTTGGGGATATCGGGGGTTGTGGGCAGGAAGGGTAGTGTGAAGTATCACAGCAATGTGCTGTGATATCCAGATGGAGCGGACCTATCGGAGGAGTACACAATCTTGAGTCTAGGAATAGTGTAGGTCCCGAGAGGGATTTTCTCAGTTTAGGCCGCCCTTTGGGGCCTGCGGTGGCGGGGCTAAATCCGGTCCGGGTGCCTAAATTTGGGTTAGTCCCGCGATTTAGGCCCCGCGGTGGAGATGGTCTTAGATAAGTTAGCTGAACACGTAATATCGGGTATCACAAATCGATGGCCGATACGACATTGAGTGAAACAAGGCCAAACTTCGTATTCGAAATACTTACTGATGCCATACGCGGTAAGCGTATTAGCTCCAAGCTTAACATGAGCCTCTCGATCGGAAGGTCCCGAAAGGGACCCCGCGGCCCGACTCGCGCCTCGTCGGAGGAAGGGGAAACGTGTTAAGTTCATGTTAGCTCGGCCCACCGTTCCCGGCGGTTTACCGTCGAGGATAAACATTGCGCTTCCCAGCGCAGGCTGTAAGGTGCATTATTATTAATGGAGTGGAGGGATCGAGGTCAGAATTATATGATGCAAGTTGAGTGAGGACGCGACCACCGTGCATAGATGGCTCAACGAAATCTGTCAGCAAAGTGAAAGGGAAACCGGTGTGATCGATGGTGCCCTAATTATTCAGTACCTGAGCAGCGATTCCGGAAGACTTCTCAGATAGAGGGTCTTTCAGCAGAGTGTCTGAGGGATAGGCACATAACCAGCTCAGAGGACTGATAACCAGGCGTGTTGGTTGACAAATAATGAAGTGATCGAGAATCATAATTGCACGGGAGCTTCAAAGTGAATCAAGTTGCTTCTGATGAAGAAATATAGAGCCTGCAGGTGTGTTTAAATCCCCAAATCACGAAAGTAGCAATTCTTTATTCCCTTCCAGCTCGAATCTTCTCTGGTTCATCGCACCTCCCAGCTCTCGCCAGAAGCATGTCTCGCCAGCCTCCATCTAAGAATCCTCAAACCCCTTCACAATCGTTATCAAGTGAGTGAAGTTCTTTGCCTAAGTCTGTTTTCACTCTGTGCTCTTCGGTATTCATGGCGTGAAGCGGGCCACTCTTGAATATGCTGTCGCCATCCTTCGCTTCGGGGCCATATTGATATAAAGAATAGAATGAATGATGTGGATAAATTATTGTAACTTGTTTTGAGCTCGTGAATAATTCGCAAGCCTCGTCTTCCCTATGACTGATCAGATGAGCCTAATCGGCTTCGGGAGGATTCCCCGAGCACTCCGAGGGCCATCGGAGATTGGATTACCACCACCTCCAATCACGCCCAACCTTATTCGCTTGCCGATCGCCTCTTACGTCATCCACCCCAATCATCCTCATTACCATCCTCCGGCTCAGCGGACTTACTCCCAGCTGACTCGAAAACCACCAACGACCATAGCAGCAGGCCAAGGACCAAGTGAGTCATCGATGCCTACGTTGCTTACTCCCATAATAATCTGAACTAACCCCCACTTTGTATATGTGTCGCTTCAAGCCCCAAACCTGCCGCTGACCACCCCAAGTCACTCTGGTCATCCTTGGTCGACTCGGAGCCTGATCAAGAAAGCCCACTCGAGCTTGCGACTCCTAGGGGCAACCAAGCATTTTCAAGTCGATCGATCAGTCAACAAAGCAACAGCAGTCAATCGACCTCATACGGCAACTCTCTCAGCAGGCCGTTCGATTCGTCTGCCTCTCTCGATACTCTCTTTGGTGTTCCGACTACCAAGCTCAGACATAATCCCATGTCTCGGCCCACGAAGGTCGATATGCCACCGGCAGCCCAATTTGGCTCGGACGCTGACGCTCCCAAAAATGGTCATGCTCAATCCACAAAGAGCTCGGTGATTCGTGACTTCTCAAAATTCTGCCCGTTCCCCACCCCTGGTCTGAAGGAGAAAAAATACTTCGCGGATTATAAATCTGTGGAAGAGCAGAGACTCGAAGAGGATGCTCAGAAAGGTAGACATTGGAAGAGATGGGGCCCATATCTCTCCGAGCGTCAATGGGCCACCGTCAGAGAAGATTATAGTGCCAATGGTGATGCTTGGACTCACTTCCCCCATGAACACGCCCGTAGTCGAACCTACAGATGGGGTGAAGATGGCCTCGGTGGTATCTGTGACAACCATGGTCGTCTGGCCCTCTCGTTTGCTCTCTGGAATGAGAAAGATCCTATCTTGAAGGAGCGATTGTTTGGAGTGACTGGTCATCAGGGTCAGTCAGAGATCTCACTCAATATTCAATCTACGCAGAGGTGAAAGGATAAGCCTAACCTCGATCTCGGTCTTCGATGTTTGTCTTCTTCATTCATCCGTTTAGGTAATCACGGGGAAGACGTCAAAGAAATTTACTACTATCTAGACTGTTCCCCAACACACTCTTACATGAAGTATCTGTACAAGTATCCTCAACGCGAATTTCCCTACCAAAAACTTGTCGAAGAGTCCAACAACCGTAGTCGCGATGTGTCAGAGTTTGAAATTTTAGAGACGGATGCTTTCGATGATAACAGATATTGGGATGTATATGTTGAGGTGTGTTCTTAGTCGCCCTCTTGTTTTATTTTTTCACTCGTTCTAACTAGTCTGGAAATTGCTTATAGTACGCCAAAGACGAAGAAAACGAAAATGGCATTTCTGTTCGAATTGCTGCCTATAATCGTGGACCGGACCCAGCGACTCTACACATAATTCCCCAAGTCTGGTTTAGGAACACTTGGTCTTGGCCCAAGGAGAGGCCAACCGGAGACCAGATGCCGTCTATGAAGGAATCGACGACCCAGAAGGGCTCCGATTCTTCGCCTTTCACGGTCGACATCCATCATACTGGGTTGAGAGAAAATTTTTATTTCTATGCCAATCCTAGTCCCGCACCCGCCTCCGCGCCAATTCGAGGTCAAGAGGTCATTGAAACGGAAGAAATCGTTTGTCCTGAGTTACTCTTTACAGAAAACGAGACTAACATCGAACGTTTATATGGAGGCCAATGATCGGTCGTTTGCGAAAGACGCTTTTCATGACCACATCATTCCGTCCCATCGCCCCCCATCCGATTGTCCAGTCAAACAAGAAACACCCAACGCTCCAGAAGGTACTTCATCAGCAGGGACTGAGGATGTGCCTTCCACTCCACGAGAATATGTGAATCCTGAAAAAACGGGCACAAAGGCTGGAGCGCATTACGTCTTTAAAGACGTCCCTCCACACGGGGGATGCGCGGTGGTTAGATTCAAATTGACAAACCAGACCCTCAGCCAAGATCCTTCGATTTCTGATGAGGAGAAGTTTGATCAGCACTTGGAAGATCGTCGACAAGATGCAGATGAATTCTACGCTCGACTGAACCCCGGCGAAGGCTCGGTTCACGGGTTGAGCGAAGATTTACGGAACATCATGCGACAAGCGTTGGCCGGAATGTTGTGGACTAAGCAATTTTATTATTTCGTCCAGCGTGAATGGATCAATGGTGACCCTGGTCAACCTCCCCCACCACCCGAGCGCAAATACATCCGAAATCGAGAGTGGAAGCACATGTACATCGAAGATATCCTGTCTATGCCTGACAAATGGGAGGTAAGTCAAATCAACCTTTTACACTTTCTAGACCTCTACAAACTAACAGGTTAAATTATGCAATTACTTTCCGTCTTTCGATTCAATAGTATCCTTTCTTTGCAGCATGGGACACGGCCTTTCACTGCATTCCGTTAGCCATGGTCGATCCGGCTTACGCTAAAAATCAATTGGACATCATGACTCGAGAATGGTACATGAAGCCTGATGGTGCTTTACCGGCCTACGAATGGAAGTTAGTCGCCTTTTTTTTTTGTAACCAGCGTAGAAATTATGTGGCTTACTAATTGGCTGCGCTTTGTATGTGTATTACCAGCTTCAGCGACGTTAATCCTCCCGTTCACGCTTGGGCCACCTTCCGAGTTTTCAAGATTGAGAGGAAGATGTACGGAAGGGAAGATTTGCCATTCTTAGAAAGAGTGTTCCAAAAGCTGTTGTTGAACTTTACCTGGTAGGTCTTGACCGCTCAACTTTCGTCTCAATTTCATCACTTGTCGCCTAACGATATCATATCATCTTTCGGTCAGGTGGGTCAACCGAAAGGATGCCAGTGGCCAAAACGTCTTCGAGGGTGGCTTCCTAGGTTTAGATAACATTGGGCTCTTCAATCGCTCAGAGCCCTTACCTACTGGCGGGTCTCTGCGACAAGCAGATGGAACGGCGTGGATGGCGTTTTTCGCCCTCAACATGCTCAACATGGCACTCGAGCTTGCTAAGCACAATCCCGTATACGAAGACATTGCCTCCAAATTCTTTGAGCATTTCTTGTTCATCTCTGAGTATGTTGTACCTTTTCTTTTCTTTTCTCAGCCTTCGATGAGCCTGACTATTCTGGACAATTCTTATTTGTTAACTTCCATGCAGGGCAATGACATTTGGGGATCCACATGATGAACAATCCAGTCTTTGGAATGATGAAGACGGCTTCTATTATGATGCGATCAGCTGGGGTGTTGGTAATTCGACGCAACTACCGGTTCGCTCTCTGGTCGGCTTGATTCCCCTTTACGCCACTTTGACTCTTGAACCAGGGGTGCTCAAGCGCTTCCCGGGGTTCAAGAAAAGAATGGATTGGTTTATTGAGAACCGACCTGAACTAGCTACCAAGGGTATCATAGCCAACATGAGCGGGGTTGGTAAGCATGAACGTAAGCTGTTGGCTCTGGCCAATGAGGATCGACTGAAAAGAATTTTGGAACGCATGTTGGACGAGTCCGAGTTTTTCAGTGCTTACGGAATCCGATCGTAAGTTGATTTAGTGTCTCATGAATAGAAGTCCTGACCATGACTAACCGACTGTCTCCTCGACTCGGCATCGTCTTGATTTGTAGGTTATCCTTGTACCATAAAGAAAACCCTTACAAGATGCACGTGAACGGAGAAGAATTTAGTGTGGATTACTGGCCCGCTGACTCAAAGAGTGGAATGTTCGGAGGTAATTCGAATTGGCGAGGGCCGATTTGGTTGGCCACTACATTCTTGCTCATTGAAAGCCTTCAACGGTTTTATCAAGTGCGACTTCTGTTTTCGTTTTTCGTCGCTTTACCTTTCTATCTACCATACTAAGACTGACTCTGTTCTTTTTTTCTGATGTGTATAGTATCATGGTACCAATCTCAAGGTAGAATGTCCCAAGGGTAGCGGTGATATGCTTAACTTGGCCGCTGTAGCCGATGAAATCCAGCATCGAATTATTCATATCTTTGCACGCGACGCGGAAGGGAGAAGAGCCTGTAACGGAGGCTTGGATAGACTTGACAAGGATCCTTTTTTCCGCAACCATGTGTTCTTCCATGAGGTGTGTTGATCAGAGCAATTGCAACTTGTCGGTAAGTAGATGAGTAGGAGAATTTGAAAGGCTAATGAATTTCTGGGTCCTCCAGTTCTTTCACGCTGATACGGGTAAAGGCCTTGGTGCCTCCCACCAGACCGGATGGACAGGCTTGGTTGCCTGGATGATCTTCCAAACGGGCAGCACTGCCCGTCTTCCCAGGACTCCGCGAACGCCCCGCTCCTCGGCCGATCACTATTTCGCCGAAAGTGTCCCGCCTACTCCTGTAGAGTCTGAGCACAGCTATGACGAAGCTAATGGTGGTGCCGGCTCGAGAACTGCCACTGAAGTCATGGGCGCTGAGTTGTCCCCAGATGAGGTAAGCTACTCACTTGAGACTGCACGCGCCTCAGCTTTCGCTCGTTTTATCTGTCTTGCCAGTAAGATGAGAACAACCAGCTAATCATACCGATTCATTCTTTCGACTTCACGTCGGTCTACTCAGCTTTAAAATATCGAACTACCGTATGTATCCGGACAGAAATCCTCTACATGCAACAAAATTAAAATTAAAAACAGAGGCTGTTTCCCAATTGTTTTGTTTGATTATCTTTTTTCATTTTATCTCTCTCCTTATCGTTTGAAAACATAAATGCAGATGTGTGTGTTCTATCTCCTGTTGTTTGACTATCTAAATGTGTGTGTGTGCGTGTTCTATCTCCTGTTGTTGTTGTTCCTTTTTTTATTCATATATATATAGAAAGATGAAGATGTGTGCATGTTGTGGAGCTACACGAGTATCAGAAAAACAAGACCAGATTTGTATTAGTATCTTTGTCAGGCGTGAATCACTAAACCCAAGAAAAGCTCACCGTTTTATGATCTATCATTTTTATAATTGTGAAATTACGGACATCAGTTTCCCTATTCATTTTCTCTATCTCTGGCATTGTCTAAAGTAAAATCAGAGGGGACTGGTAGGTACAAGTGGCTCTAAGAGCTTAAAACTGAAAGGTATGGAGGGAGCCACAACAGATGAAAAGAAGATTATACTTCTTTCTTTCTTCTTCTCTTGAGACGATTGTTGTAAGAGTTGTGTGATGTTAAAACCTGAACATCCTCAAACACAAGCTTACGGATCCGGCCTGCTTGGCGAGCCAGCAAAGCTCCCGACCGCGGGCAAAAGAGCGCCTGAATGACCGAGACGCGCCTCACTGGTGAGCGCCCGGTTGTAAGAGGCTAGGCTCAGCGCGATCTGACTTGGTCTGACGCAAATGTCTGGTGTGAGCTAATATTTGAATCAAAATGAAATTTGGATGAAAGTGACCGCAGAGCCAGTCTTTAAACCAGCTTCAGGCCATGGCATTCCTTTGAAGAATGAGTAAGCGGAATTGTTATTACAGAGACAATGAAAAACAGCAACAACAACAAAAAATGTGGGGACAAGATGGGCCGAAGAAACGCAATTTTTACTAAACAAAATGCTCGAGCGGTAATAATTTATGAGACGAATTGCGCTAGATGTAAGAAAGTAAATTGGTTACATAAGAATCATTGGGGGGATGAACAATCAAAGAGTCCTCATTACGATCAAGATACAGATGTTTCTAGCGCTTAAAGCTGCAACCGTGAGGTATATCTAGACAATTGCTGGGAAAATTGTTTCATGAAGGTCACATCCTCGGCGCCAAAAACCCTTTTGGGATCATCAGTATATCCAGCCAGAACGAAGCCACCAGAATTGGGTTGAGTTTCGGTACCGACGGCCAAAAGCATTGCAGAAGCATATGGCTTGGTGCCAGAGCCTCTAGGTTGTAAGGAAGCCTCTTCGGATTCTTCCACACTTGGGTTTTGGTAGAGGAAACCACCCTCAGGTGCTCTGAGTGCGCGTAAGTGTAGTCCGGCATCGAAGATTGGAACCGGGATAGGAATGTTGTGGCCTGAAATGATTAACGTGCGGCCCAATTCGCTTGATTCGCCATGAGGAACAACAGCAGTCAGATAGACCAATGAAAGGTCCAAGGTTTCGCCGATCAGCTTCGTGGCTAAATCGAAAACCTTTCGCATCTTGGGTTTGACGACCGCGTTAACGTCTTCAAATATGCTCGGGCCAGTTTTGGTCGGAGACTTCAAAGCCATATTTGTGTGAGACGATGGGGAAGTGGGTGCAGTGGAAATGGAGCTAATACTGGCCAATCTTCTGAAACTGGCTCGCTTGGAGGTGGTGGCGGTTCGCTCTGGAGAAGTTGGAGGATCGGACAAGACCTCGGTTTCGAGCACTTCGTCTCCGTCACTTGTAGAGCTGATAACCCTTTTCAGTTCGTTATTCCAATTATCTTGACTAGCTGTCAGATTTTTCATCTTTTGCTCCATCTTCTTAGCGAACCATGCTTCGATTTCTCGTCGTGCGTATTCAGACATGTAGACAAGCTTCTTGCGGTCCTCCACACTGAACGACTCTCGAGGAGCAGTATCCACAATGCACAGCGTGCCTATCGGACATGCGTTCTCCTCAGATTCTTGGCTTCCATCCAGGTTAGGCGCCATCAGAGGTACACCGGCATAAAATCTCGACCCGAAATTCTGGGTCAACGGGCCATTCTCAAATCTCCAATCTTTGTGAGTGTCGAGGACCGTGAAACCCTTACGACCACTAAGGATAGTATGTGCACCTGTGGTAAAAGAACCACAATTGAAAAAAAAAATTAGTTACGGATAAGTAAACTAAACCTAAGAACATAAAGCTACTCACAAAAACCAATATCACGACTAATGTCTCGTTTTCCTCCTAAACCAGACTCCGCCAAAAAAATTTGACGGTCATCATCAAGAATCTAAAGTGTAGGACAAATGGAACGAGATCAGTACAAGTAAAAAGAAGAGGAAAGACAGCAACTCACGGATAGCATGCTAAGTGCGGTTCCAAACAGTTCCCGACACTGTTTAACAATCTTTCTGAAAACAGGATGTTGCTCCAGAGTCTCGGGGGGCAAATGCCCGCTTCTTACACCATCGATCATGGCTCGGGCCTCGTCAACACCCATGCTAGATGCCTCACTGACAAGGGAATCACGACGCTCCCAAGGCTCGTCGAGGCTTTTGGGAATCTTTCCCTCTTCCATCAATTTGTCGCCCAGCTCGGTCCGGTTCTTGGATTTGGCGATCCCCTCCTCTGTCTCGTCGTAACCCTTATGTCCCAAGATCGCAAGCCGGTTGAGGACCAATTGTCGCGCGGGCTCATTCGCAGGTCTAGGAGCCATGTAGAATCTGGATTGGAACGCCGAGGGCACGTCTCCCTCGGCGTCTGGCTCCATTGGTGGTAATGGGGGATTGAGAACATCAATTTGTTCCTGTTACACGAAACACACTAGTTAGCATAAGCGGTTACATCGTGATATGCATGAAAATATTGCTGGATATCTGATTGAAATCTTAGCCACATGGCTAACAGAAGGTGAGGAAAAGTTGATAGGCCTGGCAAAAAAAAAAAAAAACTCACATTGGCATAGAAACGGTGATACTCATCCCATGTTTTGGGTTGTTGATTGGCGGGACTAGAAGCGCTGATCCGAGTTTTCAGAATGGCAACCATCTTCTGAACTTGCGTCTTGGTGCCGTTTGACTTGAACTTCCACGAGTTGAAAATCGACATCCGTTTGCTAGCCTTCGAAGTAGTAGTACCATATTCGTCTAAATCGTCAAGTTTTTCTTGGCGACAAATGATCTCTGTGCTCGTCACAATGTTGTTTTGATGGCTCGTGCCATCTGATTTGGGGATAAACGCCTTGAAAGCAATTCTTCTGATCTTCGTAAATCGTTTTTTCTTCGGCTTGGCGGCTGCTGATTTGTTGGCTTTTGGGGTGGATTCATTTTCACTGTCACTCAGAGCAGGCGCATGAGAATCAAGCCAGACGTCATTGGATTCTTCGGCTTGGTCGTCTTGTGGTACCGCCTCCGAAGGTGAATCACTAATCGCTTTCTTCCAAAAGTATTCAGACGGCCGTGATTTTGCCTTGCGCGATGACGTGTCACGCAAACCAACGTTGAATAACGATGAGTAAGGGAGTGTGATACCGCGAGGACATGCTATAATGTGAGCCATGGTAGGTGAGAGTGCTGGACGAGTGATAGGGGAGAAGGTAACACTGGATTCTTCCGATTGTAAACCGCTGGAATTAGAGAAGAATGTGCACGGTAAATCTTTATATTTCCTCTTGGGCCAGTAGCTTCAAGGATAAATCGAGGAAGGTAGCGCAAGGCGAGTCTCTCGATCACAGGCGATCGATGCAGACGGGATCGAAGCGTTTTCCACCTCACGCAGGATGCCGCACAGAGAGTCCACAGAGTTGAGGGTCTGAGCTTTTGCAAAAAGAAGAGGATTGCTTGCAGAGTGTATGGGTAACAGCGGTTTTAGATAGCAAGAGATTGGCGAACGGAGATGATTGGAGGCATCTGTTGGAGATTAAGGTAGCCTGACAGCAGTGAAAGGCACCTTTATATGTATGTGCGCGGGTACGCGGGCCAGTCCAAAATTGTCTATCGACATACCACTCCGGCGGAAGAACGATGGAGTAGGAAACGGCCAATGAGGGCTAGCGATCTCCATAATCGCGGCATCAACTGGCCTTGTTTATTTCCCTGATGATACAAGCTGCCGGTCCTCCGCAAGATTGGAGCAGTGCACTTCTACAGTTTAGAGGCAGAATTAATTTCAACTATATATGAAGTGTTCAATGCGTGTCGGGCTATGACTGATTGGTTGGATGGGCTTGCGGCTTAATCACTCACCTTGGGGGCTACATACAGCAGTCAAGGAGCCGAATAAGACTGCTTTGGGCCTCAGTCTGCTCAGACGACTCAAAAAAGGTCCAGGAGAAAGCACAATTAAGACGCTTAGGAATGCGGGTGTGGCAAATTGATCAGAGCCACCTCCTTTTTTTTTTTTTTTTTTTTTTTTTTTTTTTTTTTTTTTAGTGCTGATTGATTTTACATTGCGCACTTAAGTAATACTTCTATTTAGATACATGCGATGACGTTTTTGAACAATTTGTTTGAGAATACTATTCTAAAGAAAATTGATAGTATTTTATTCTTCTAAATTAAGAAACTGGGTGATGAAAACTGGCGAAGATTTGATGAAAGAAAAGAAGAAAAGAAGATAGACGAAAAACGAAGATTGAAATGGTTCCGACTCTTTATTTGGGTCTGAAAATAGGGAAGGCCGAACAAGTTCAACTTTCCATACTCTGTGGACCAGACAGAGTATTTTGTGGTGCCCTAAACCACAAACCCTCGTTTTTGAAGCAGGGAAAAGTCAAACTCATTCGTCCGACTCTTGTATCCAGCCCAATATCCCTACCGATATTGATGTACCTGTGTGATAAGTAAATAAATGTGATGAAGAATGATGCGCAAGAATTTGATGACTTTTTGATGACTTTTAACCAAAGAAATTGATAACTTTTAACCAAAGAAAATGATGACTTTTAACCAAAGGAAGTGATAACTTTTAGACCAAAGAAATTGATGACTTTTAACCAAAGAAAAGGATAACTGAAAGAGATTTTATTATATTGTTTTTTTGTTTTTAATTTTCTTCTTTTTCGAGATAATTTTTTAGATTTTTGAATCTATGAGTGTTGATAATGAATTGAGAGAGGAGATTGAAACATCTAGGTGTATCGAGTAGACTTTTGACGGAGTTGACATTGATCTTGATTTTTTTTGATGTGAGAGAGTTTCTGAACAATTTTCTTTGAAGGTTGAATTTCGGACAGTAGATTAAGAAGTGTTTGATGTCCTCTGGAGAGTTACAGAAATCACAATTGGGAGATTCGAGTTTTTTGATGGAAAAAAGATAACTGTTGAGAGCGCAGTGGCCGGATCGAAGCTGGTAGATGATAGAACTCGCGCTTCTTTCCAATTGATCTAGACTTTCAAAGATTTTACTTGGGATTGTTGATAAGCGAATATTGTTGCGGATGATCGATTTTTTGTTTTTGTTGAATTTGAATTTTGCGCGAGCGATTTGTTGAATATTTGATAATGAATGTTGTTGATTGGAAAGTTGATTAGGATGTGAGTTGAGAGTAGCGGATTTGGCAAGTTCATCGACTAATTCGTTTTCGAGGATTCCAACATGACCTGGACACCAGTGGAGAAGAATCGGAATGTGACACAAGTTGATGATTATTTTGAATTTTTTGAAGATGTTGATGAAATTAGCTTGATATGATATCGGCAATGGAGGATGGGAGATTGAGTAAAGAGTAGCTTGGTTGTTGACAAAGAAATTGATCGGCGATGAAGATGAAGTGGGAGAAGAGGATGATAGATGTTGATTGATGAAGATATCCAGTCCGATTATGATGGCTTGGACTTCTGCTTCAAATGCGGAAGTTTTTTCGGAGTTGCTGATACGGCAGGAAAATTGAGTGGAATTGTTCAGAATGGCTGCTGATCCTGCACCGTTTTCAGGGATGTTTGATCCGTCCGTGAAGATGAGATGTTCTGATTTTGTTTTTGAGAGGTTGATTTGGGATTGAACTTTTGCCTTGATGTCTTCCTTTTTGATTTTCAAGTTGGCAATCGGGAGAGAAAAATCTTCCCAGGGGTCGATAATCTGTGGGTGAATGGTTTCAATCGAAGGTAGGTCGTAATTGTTGATGAGGTGTTTGTCGAGGATGTTGTGGATGGGGGAAGGGTGAGAAGATGGGGTATTTGAAATTTCCGAATCGATGAGGCGTTTGATAGGGTGAGAAGAAGGGGCTGTTGATTTTTTTATTAGATAAAGATGGTTTTTTCTTTTTAAAATGTCAAAAAAAGGTATTAGTGGAGATTCTCGCTTAAGGACAGCACATGGGGTGGTTTTGAAGAGTCCTAAGACAATTCGATTGGCTTGATTATCGATTTTATCAAATAAATTTTTGATAGTAGAATATTTTTTATCGGTAGCCCAGATGGTGCTACCATAAAGAATTCTAGAGCGGAGGACACTAATGATGAGATTTTTGGATTGATGAAGACCAATGCCGAAAGAACATCGGGAAATACGGATAAGTTGGGCAGCGGTTTGATCACCACATTTTTTAACTTTTTTAATGTGATCTGAAAAAAGGAGTTTGGGATCAAAGATGATGCCTAGGTATTTAACAGAATAAGAAGTGGGAAGAGAAATGTTTCCAAATTTAAAAGGGCGGATGTCAACAGAGTTATGGGTGAAGACCATAAATTTTGCTTTTCTTCTATCGAAGATAGCGTTATGTCTGACTCCCCATTCAAGGGATCTTTTTCCTTCTGTTTCCAATTTTTTGATTGATGTTTCGAGGTATTTTTCGGCGACAAGATGAGTAACATCATCAATGAAGCCGAGAGAAATAGAATTTTGGTTTAGTGAAAGTGGGTTGTTGATAAGGAGAGAAGAATTGTAGATGATGTACAAAATTGGGGAAAGTGGAGAACCTTGCGGTAAGCCACATTTCAAAGAAAAGGGAGACAATAAATAATCGTCCATTTTGAGGGAAGTGGTGCGATTTGAAAGGAAGCTGGAGATAATCGATATAATGTATGGAGGAGCATACTTAACTTTTAGATTATTGAGGAGTCTTTCCTTGATAACCGTTGGGAAAGCGGATTTGACATCTAGAAAAAGTGCAGAGACTATTTTCTTCTCGCACCATTTCTGACGGATCCAGGATGTGAGGAAGAGATTGGCGTCGTCTGTGCTGCGACCAGCTCTCCCGCCAAAGTGGCCTTCAGCGAGAACATTGTTGGTTTCGGCCCAGAAGGTGATTATTTTTGTAAGAACACTTTCAAAAAATTTTCCCAAACAGGAGAGGAGAGCAATAGGTCGGTAAGAGCCTGGTAAAGAATATGATTCTTTGTCAGCTTTACGGATGATGGCCGTAGTGGCATGGCGCCAGAATAGAGGAAAATATCCAATCTTCAAACATGAAGAAAATAAGTTGATGAGAGGGGGGATTAAACAATCCTTACTCCAAAATATTAACTCATTGGCAATGTCGTCATGGCCCGCGAGCCTTCTTTTTCGGAAGATTTGAAATAATGTTTTCAATTTCGAAATGAGAGATCTGAGGAAAAGATAGGGGAGAGTTTAAGATTAGAGGAGGGATGTCGGAAAGGAGACAGTTGATAGGAGCATCAGATGTTCCTTTGAAAAGAAGAGAAGCTTGTTCTTCTTTATTTGATGTGAGAATGTTCTGGTCGTTGAGGAGGGGAGCAACGTTGCCGTTGCTGTTGGGCTTAGTGAATTTATAGGCTTTGAACAATTGAAAGTCATTACATTCGGCGAGGAATTCCCTCCAATGATTTCTCTTGAGTTCGAAGACTTTCTCTCTGAAAACTGACTGCCAATGTTGGAAACAGTCACAAGATTTGGTGGATTTTGAAAGGAGCATCCACTTTCTGGCTCTGTTTCGTTTTTCTGCTAAAGGGGTTAGAATTTTATTATCCCACCATGGCTTAATCTTTTGGGGATTGTTTTTGACTACTTTTTTTTGGTTGTCGATGGAGTTTTGGAGAGATATGGTTAGTTTTTTAACATAATTATCAATGTCTTGAGGATTGAGTAGAGGGAGAGTCGGTAGAGTTTTAAGAAAGTTGGTGAGGTCGAGATTGAACTTTTCAGTGTTGATTTTTTCAAGGTCGCATGAGAGTCGATCGTTGATTTGAATGTTGGACTGAAATGAGAGAGTGAGGTGAATGGCTTGATGGTCAGAGCCGTGATTTCTTGAAGAGGTGGTGCACGAGTGTATGAGTTTTTGAGAAAGAAAGTTGGCCACGTCAGATCGATCGTTGTTGGGCTGGATCTTCTAGTGAGGAAGGTAGGTGTTCCTTTTTCAGAGATGATCTTGAAGCCTTGTTGACCACAGGTTTTGATGAGGTTTTTGGATTCGCGATGAGAGTGGGGATAGTTGGGGGGGCTCCAAAGTTTGTTGTGAAGGTTGGAGTCGATGAATTATGAAAGAAGGGATTTTGTGATCATTGAAAACACTGAGCCAATTGTCGAGTTCACTGAGAGCTTCGAAATGTTTGGGAGGATTATAAACATTTATAAGTCTGATTGATTGGATTTTATTGATGTTGATGTCGATGTCAACCGCTGATAGGATGCAAGAGCCGCCGGGAAGAGGGTGAATTCGTTCAGAGTTATATTTTTTATTGATTAAGAAGCAGTTGCGATGTTTATCTTGATAGGATGAGGGAGAATGGTTGTGATCGAGGAGACATAACCAGTTGGAGTGAGTGGGAAGTTTGAGAGTGTGTGGGTTGATCCAGGGTTCTTGGAGGATTAGGATTGATGATTCGCATTCGGTGTTGAGAGCGCTGAGTGTGACATCGAAGGAATTGTGGCAATTCAGTTGGATAATTTTGAACCTCGAATTTGAAGCGTCTGATGAAGGAGGCGGTGGGTTGGAAGGGGAAGAGAAAAGAGAGGAAGAAGGGGGAGGGGAAGAGGAGTGAAGAGGGGCTATATTTGGGTTGTTGTCGTTGTACCTATACATGATTTAAGATGTTTTTGCGGAGGGATTTAGATTTTAGAGGACATTTGATACTGGTTGAGGAGTGTTGGAATCGGATATTATCTTCATCCACTTCCGTAGGGAGGTTCAGGCTTTTTTCAAATTGGATACATTTAACGCAAGAGTCTTTAGGCTCACCGGAGGAACAGTCTCTTGAGTTGTGGCTGTCGCCACAAAATTTGCACATTGGAGGATTCTTACAAAGTTGAGCGGTGTGACCAATGTCAAGACATTGGAAGCATTGTAGTGGGGATTTCTTATAGTGGGCTCCTCTCAAGAATAAAAACTTATAAAAAAGTCCTCCTTTCTCAACCTTTTGAGCGAGGTCCTTGCTAAAAAGATTTATGATTAAGGATCCATGGGATTGTTTTTTGCTGTGTGGGTCACCGAGCCAACGGATTGAAAGGACATCTTTCGGGTCAATATTGTTTTCTTTACACAATTCAGAGACAGAGGATTGATTGGCAGGAGTAAAGGAAATAGGCATCGAGTGAACGATAACCGGGAAAGATGAGGGGGGGGTGATAAGGGAAGGGTCACACAAGTGAGTCCACTTGTGTTTGTGCTCAAGGAGCCATTTGGCTGCGAATCGGGACTGGGTGAAAAACTTAAAATCGCCTGAAGGGAGGGATGCAACTCCCTTGATGATGATAGGAACATTATCATCGGTCTTAGCTTCTATGTCCAAAAGGACAGAGTTGGTAATTTTTGTGATTTCTCCAGGGGACTTTTGAAAAAAAGGGCGAGAATCAGGTACAGTTTTGCGAATAACAAATGAAGCTGGCTTAAATTCATTGATTATTTTCTTAGGTGGAGGGGGTCGGATAACTGGCTGGGCAAGGACATGGGTAGGTTTGTCTTTGACAGCGCTAGTCCAGGCAGCAACAGTAGATTTTTTGTTGGAGGGGGGAGAGTGAATTGATTTTTCAATAGAATCAAGGCGGGATGTGATCTTCTCGAGGTTAGCCAAGGTTTGAGTTGAGACTAGCTTCTCTACACCGAGGAGACTAGCAGCAATCTTAACCTTATCGGCCGTGATGATCACACTTCCGTCAGGTTCTGGGTGGGAGAATAAATCTGACATGAATTGGAAGAAACCATTAACATGAAAATCGTTAATGGGATTGTGTTGGGATTGATGGAGGGACGGGTTATGAGAGAAATCGTGTTGGGTCGGGGTGTGGGGAGGAGAGGGGTTGGAAGAATCAATGTCTTCCATGTCGTCATGCGAGACGACGCGTATGGGAGGCATAGTAAGAACTATGCAAACCCAAATAAGGTAAAAACCTTAGGGGAGAGGAGGAGAGAAAGCTCTGAGGTCTATAGTCGGAAGAAGAGAAGGAAGAGAGAAAGGGATGATGACACCGAGGTGATAAGAAAAGAAAGAGAAACTGTTTTTAATTGATTTTTTATTTTTATAAGGGTTTGAGATTTTTAGGAGAATGATTTTGGCGGAGTTGAAGGTGTCGAAAATGAATAAATTCAGGAGAGCTTTTTCATCAGAGAAACCTCGAAAGTTCATCGAGGCAGGCTCCTCCTTGCCTACATCCACTCACTGCGGGGCGGGTTTTGGAGGACTGGAGATGTCTGTCAAATCAAACATGAACACTTGGCAAACCTGATTAAACCTGACCACCGATCAAGTTCATAGATTCAATCGTTCTGTGGTTTCTTATGTATTGAAATGATGTAGTGACAATTACTGCCATTCTTAAGATAAAATCAATAGCCTCCATGTTTTCATATCTTTTTAATGAAAAGGCTTGATGTTAAACAAGTTTGATAAGCTGCACAGAATTGACCCAACAAAAGATACTAAACGTTCAACAGTCAATGCGCCATCCTGTATACGCGCACAACAAGACTTCCTTGTCAATCGAACCAGAGTTTCTGATTCTAATGTCACTGAATTGTGATCCATTTGAAGTGGAATGGAGGAGAAACAACAAAATACCAACTTGCATTCTGGCACTGTTTTACGCAAACCGGTAGTGTATAATTCAACATTAAGCTGGATCACCTGAGCTGTAGAGGTGTTGTTAGAACCAATTATCTACCTAAAAATTGGATGGTGAAGGAGTCTGGCTATGATTGGCAAAACACATTTCCTACGCTACCATGTTTTCTCGTTTCGTTACTCAGAAGGTAATTATATAAACAAAAAATATTTCTTAATGAAAAATATGACTTGATGAAAAAAATATGAACCAAAAATCAACTTAGACAACAGTGAAAAATGTAAATAGAATGGAAAACAAGGTAAAAGTTATGGTAAGTGTTTCCTGCTTCATGTTCGAGCTTCAAAACTAATAGAAGTTCAGATTATTGGTCAGTCCTCAAAGCTCTGCGCTTTAAAATACTTCGTGAATTTTTGTTGGGCTGATGATGTAGCACCCGAAGAGGGGCTACATGAGAGCTCTCCAGACCTTTTCCACCCAATTTTTGGGCGGAATTTCTTCTTCTTCGGCTGTAAATAGAAACGGATAATCAGAGTGAGCAAAAATCTTCACTTTCGGGGGCGAACGGCTCTCAATACTTACCATCGGCGTCGCTCCCGGTGACTAAGTTGAAGCGCAAATGAAAACATCCAAATTGCAATAAGACCTCCACACAACGCCGTTCACTATCAAACAGTTTACATGAAAGACCCACCGAAGTCCATGTGCCGTGCTTCCACCATCCCTGCTTTTGTCCACCATCTGTGGGCGCCAAACAGTAAGATGAATGCCGCAACCGGGAAATAGCACGTGATGCTTCAGAGTGATCATCATATGTTATGGGTTAGCACCAATATAAGTGTGTTAAATTGAAGAGCAATTGAGAACTCACAAAGTGGCAACGTCCCACTTGTCTTTCAGAAAAACCCTGAACCCATTCAGAATAGTGATAATTACACAAGATATGAACCCGCACCATGCCCCGGTGACTCCAACCCTGCGTTTTTACTCATGAGTTCATAAAAATATTTCAATGCTAATAGCTAATCAGGAACTCACGGGGACTGGTAGGGAAGTTGGGCCCTGTCGAAACCTTGCACTTCCATTCCATCCTGACACAATTTACGAAAAGGTGTCATTTTTTTACCATTCGCTTTTGCTGTACATGAGCACACATAGACAAATCCCTCCACTCACCCGGAACCGAATATAACTATTCCCGCAAATATATTACTTTTAATCAGCAGCCAATCTCCATATGTTGGTTTAAGCTCAGCGCGTTACAATACATACGTGATAAATATGCCAGCCCAGCTCATCAACCCAGTCACGCTGGTCATATTTGCAAGGTAACCAAACACTATTCCTGCCTGAAGAGCCGATTTGTGCGTTAATTCAGTCCTTGCGAGTATCTAAAAGACAGTGAGCTCTTACTTTTCCGTGACTAGCGGCCATGAATGCTAGAGTTCTGTTGCAGAGATGGATGCCGATAGAAAGGATTAAAAATTGAACTTTGGTTGCAGAACATTTGATAGATCAACAAGAAAAATCACCCCATCATGATGCCAATGATGTAGCAGTAGATCGGTAGTCCATTTCGCGTTGTTTTCGCCCTGGAAACCATTTCTAAATCATCAACAGAAGACTTTTAAGGATAACCTTCATTGGCACCCACAGGAACCTCGGCGCATTCCCAGTAATACTCAAACCATACAGAGACCGGCTCGAAATATACCTATTTCAACAGGAGAGACATGTAAAGTGGGCATCAAAACACTATTCTCTCAGGGAATGGACTGATAGCTAATCAATCTCACAAGTCCGAAGAGGCTGCCGATAGTGTGAACGATAATAAAGCGCCGTTGATTACCGATGACAAGCCTTTTATCCCAGCATTGTGTATGCTAAATCAAACGCAGAATACAACTGAGGTGAGTTCTGGAGGCAGTGAGAGGTAACGCTGTATTGATGTCAGCTGCTCACGCGATCACAAAGGGGGACTTCGCGCCCGTGGCAGTGGTCAGGCGCAGTCGGGGCTCGTTTGAGGGTACAAGCATTGCTAGCCAACAAGTTTTACAAGATCAGCCAAACATCCGAAATTGAAGGTTCAGCGGCTGAGTTAAGGAGGGAGCCGCCTTACAAACTATTATCGTGCTCAAAACATACTGTTTTTGCTCACAAGGCGTCAGCAACACGCGAAAAAATTCTTTGAGGCAGCAGAGGACCTACGAATCCCAAAACTCTCCCGGCCACACGTTTTATAGCCCTTGGTAAATTTCTCTGAAATAAATTGGAAGATCAGAATGTACGAGCGCCGCGCGTTGGCAGATCGAGAAGCATGACCCACCCTTGGATTTTTGGCTTCAGCAGCAGCAATTGCAGCTGTCAAGGTTGGTCATCCAGGTTTCAGCGTTAGTGCATCACTCTGTCTCTTGTCAACATAATGCACTACTTACGCATCTCAACCCCAACATAAGCGAATGCGGCCGAAACCAACACAGAAAGGAAACCTAAGAATCGACCCGCGGCTCCAGGTACGTCTGCATACTAAATGAAATCGATTCAATGAAAAATTGATCTTTTCCATTATATTAGTTAAAACAAAATACCTGTGCAAAAAGACCTGATGTGATGTACATGATGGAATTCGGCGGTTAGCAGAAAACTTCAAGCTGTCTTGTGAGTTGGAATATAAAAAAAGACGTCGCCCATACCAGGATTCTTCCAATATCTAAATCCTATCATGTCTCCTGTGACTGCCCCTAAGTCCAGTACTAGACCCAAAATAATGACCGCAACAATTGTGATGACTTTTACGCTGGAGAACCAAAATTCCATTTCGCCTTGGAAAGATAAAAATTCAACCATCAATCAAGGGCTTTGACCAAGCTTCGATCGGCCGGTGATATGCCAGTGATGCTTACCGTAAAATCGGACTCCTCTAAATCAAGTTCAAAATCAGCATTGGAAGACAAAAATCTCGTTGATAAAACAGATATTCAATTCACCCCAGATTTATCAGAGCAACTATTAATAAGAAAATGAAAATCCCTGTAGTGCTAGAAGCTTTGTTCAGAAGAAAAATCTTCTTGGTTCGAAGAATGAAATTGAAATTCATAACTGACAAATTGCCATGTTCACCTTCACTGTCCAAAACCCAACAAAAAGGGCTGAGGCCGAAAGCTCAGCTGTGATCGTTCATAGTCAAAGTACAATCCAAATGAATATAACATTGTAAGTTTTGGTTTTCCCTTAGAAACAATTGGCTCAACTTACTCGGGAGAGTTATTGACCTAGTGGAAAGAAATAATTTGGAAAATAAAGAGTTTAGTTCCATGCAAACAACCCACCCGATTTCAAAGAGGTGTATACCAGAGATACCAATAGGACCACCCCAAGGTAAATGATAAGCTTGGTGAAAAGAAGCGATCCGCTAGGGCAAGATGACCTCCAGGAATAGGTAGATGCGCAATCATCTCCCCTTTTGAAGAGTTCAGTATCATATTGGTATTTCGAAGGGTGATTCTGCGTGAATTGCCTACCTAAGCTACACATAAGTGTCCATACCATTAATCCCATCAAGGAATAACCAAATACTAGGGTGAAAGGCCCTCCATTGGCCAATGCAGATCCGGTTCTACAAAACAATCCAGTGCCTTGAGAAGAAAAAATCAGATTCTCTCGCGTCAGGTCGCGGCTCTGCACAGATACTAGGCGCTGATTTCGTAAGTTTACCTATTGCCCCTCCACTACAGCAGAAGAAAAAAGTCAACTATTGATTATTTATAGACGTTCTCTCTTAGGTCAAGTCTAGGGTATACTGACATGGATATCATGGCCACATGTCGATTTTGAAGTTGTCTGTGAAGCTGATGAGCGGCCGGCAAGTCACTCGATTCAGCCCCACCATGCGATGATGCTATGCCTGGAGAAATGGCTTTCTCAGCATCCGTATTGTAGTTTTTGTGGCCCATTGTTTAGGCAGTGAATGCGGCGCTCGAGCTTCCAGCAGTTAGAATGTAAGACCTTTAGGTAGTTGTGACTATCTTGGAAAACTTTGGTACAAGCAGAGCGCTAATATATGGGTTTAAACCTTAGAAGCTTAGACGATAAGAGAAACAGGCAGGTGGCTTCTGAAAGCGCAGAGTAGCCAGTGCAAGGTTTTGGCAAGATAAGTTTGATAGAACTCGTTATCAATTCCGGACTGCCCCTTGACATGTAGCCCTTCAACATGTAGATGTACCTTATCGGAATCGGATGTGTACTGTATGTAAAGACAAAAGGACATTGCACCGTACCGCTTCTGTGACTCCAGGCCGAGGCTGGTGGGGATCACATTCACAGATTGAATCGCCAGAGCGAGACATGTTTGAACCTCGCGAAGTGTGGATGAACCGGTGATTCGTACCGCAGCGACTTTTATCCTTGCGTGGAGTCTGGATCAAGCGACTCGAGCCTGTTAAGCGGTAGCGCAAATTACGTCAATGGGGGGGGGGGGGGTCTGCGCGTCTCGCCTCTCGGACTTGCAGATGAGATTTGGCAAATGTTACGATTGCAGCCTCCAGAAGTGTTCAGGTGTGGAGTTGTAAAACAGGTAATTGGATGCAGTGTGCCGCTGAAGCCTGAAGCAGAAGTGGGTAACGTAAAACATCGATACATACATTGGCGTGACGTCGTCTCGGCCTAGAGGCTTATCAAAATCGGCATCGAAGTCCTATGATAGCGGGTCGGTGAAACTTCCCCGTCGACCTCAACCCGATTTGCTGCAACCTCCAGGCGGCAATGTGAGCGGCTATGGGTCGGAATTGCTCGGCTATGTAAAGGGCAGGGAAGTGCTGAAGTGATGGACTTCTCGAGTGAGACCTGCGGGCCTAACTCATGAGTCCCTACTCGGCTGAATGATGACTACAGGAAAGGGAGTTTGCACATTATTTCGTGCATGAAGATTGAAACCTTTCAATTTTGGACAACTGGTAACGATTTTCTCGATGGGCTATTCCGATGTTATCAGAGCCCGGTCTTCCCACCGGTCTCAGAGCCTCGGATGATTTGATCGGAATCCCACTGAGCGCTGTTCAGGAATGGCTCTCATTGATCTATCACTTCTTTTCTATTGCATTTCATATGCGGTCATGGAGTATTTTTCTTCAGCTTCTGGTTATTTTATGTGGTGGACCAGAAAAGGAGAAAGTATTATAAGTAAATTTATCGAGTGGCCTGCTAAGGTCAAAGTTGGTTCTACTTCCATTAGAATATTTGAAACATCTTAGCGAAGTTAACACGAAAACTATGCCACTGCCCAACGAACTTATAACGGAAAATTTACAGAAAACTTTGTCTCACATTATTGACAACGATAGGATCAAGTTGCCGGACATTATCATCACCCATTGGTGAATCTGTGAGTAAGTCAACTTAAATACCTACGTTTAGAACTTGGCAGTAATTAATCGAAAGCTGTTTGTGGTTAATGAAGATGCTGTGAAGCGGGTGAACCCACCAAGTGTGAGGCATTGAGCCGCGCACACTCGGCCGGTCGCGTGGGGCCCGATACCTTTTGGAGCAGTCGCGTTGAGTGTCGTCATAGCTTATCGTGAGTTGTTCGACTGCTTGATTTACCCCCACATTTTTCCTCCCTTACATTTAATCCAGCTTGACATCATGGCACCCATTACAGCCGGCTCTCGTGGGATCAATTTACCTTACTCCTCTCTATTCAATGTTACCTTGCGTGATGAATCGACGCGTGCAGTGAAGTCACGGCCGCCCGATTACTTTTGGAAAAAAGCTACTGGTTCAACAACTTCTAATGCAATATTACCGAGTGACGCCAATCTGGAGGAAGATAACGAGTGGTTTGATTTTCGCGTACCAGCTCTTAGTGATAGCGATAGCGATAGCCAGGACGTAACAACCAGGAAGCAACAAAGCACGCCCATCAGATCAAATAGTATTCTGCGCTTCACAAAGCTACGGCGAATTGCCTTTAAGGCCTTCACGACGAAATCACATGATACCAATCGACCAAAGAATACTGTGACAAGCACAGAAGTCATTTTTCAACAAGGAAAGGCCGAAGATTCCGGCCTAGGTAGCTCAAATAACCCGAAGAGTAGAAAACGGATCTCAATATTCAAATCCCTTAGATTCAAGTATGGCGGTTCAACGAAACCGCGAGCGAAGAAGATGGTTGCTGTTTTACAAAGTCGTATCAGTGCTGACAGTCCTCTCGAGGAGCAGCCAAAAACGTGGGATGAATACTCTCGTCTCTATGCTAGTGTAAGCAGACAGCCCACTTTGATAGTTTTTCTTTCTATTGGCTGTTCGAATTTTCAAAAAATTCAACTTACCCCCACATTAAATGAACATTGCACATGTATTCCCGTCATCCAATTGGATTCATACGCTTCTAAAAGGATCGCTGTGTGAATGCTGATCCTTTGGTTCTCCACTTGATTATTTCCCTAGGAGAGAATCAATATCATGAACCCACCCGTACCACCATTTGAGGGAGACATTGGGAAAAGTACCCCTTCCGTGTTTCAAGCCAGATATTTTGCGGCCCCGATCCCGGCGAACGAACCAGTCCGACAACTAGTCATGAATCGTCTTGGTGTTTTTGGAGGGAAGCCGTACGATGAAACGGATGTTGGTGTAGCCAAATGGAAGGAACGTGTTGAATTCGGCAGTACATTGATGGAACAGGGAAAAGCTCCATCAACTCTCGCATCATCTTGGCAGAATCCTTATTACTCTTTCAGAAATAACCTTGGTATGAACGTCACCAATCAAGGACCCACGGGCGTTCAGGGTGGTCACATACCTTCTGAGACGTTGGAACAACACCCTGTCCTTCGAAAGATTGTTAACCAGTGCCGAGAGCTTTTTAGCGTCGCATATAGCTTATTATCTGTGAGTTTCCCTTCTTATGGTCAAGATAAACCATACATTTATGTTAGAATACCGATAAATATGTTGCATCCCCCGACTGACAGGTTGTAGATGACGATCGCTTCATATTTTTGGCTGAATCTGGTTTGACTGATGCTGGCTTTGGGGGAATTCGGGACGTACCCCGAGAGATAACGTTTTGTTAGCAGATTAATTTCAGTGCTTCTAGTAATTACACATTATATTATAATTTATCATCTCAGATGCTTTGTTTTCTTTTGATAGGTGGACACACTGTTCTCGGTGATCGACAAGGTTGCACAATTCTCGACGCTCGCAAGGATTGGAGATTTGAGAACAACCCATCAGTGCAAAGTTTTGGACCACTTTTCTATGCTGGGGTCCCTCTAATGGCACCTAATTTGGATGGAAGTCAAGAAGCCGAAGAAAATTCATGTCCGATAGGCTCTTTGTGCGTTGTGGATTACGAACCTCGAGAGTCATTTAGCGTTGAAGACCGCAGAAGGCTTCTAAACATGGCGGAGTACGCGCGACGAGAAATAGAAAAATGGTTCGCATGCAAGATGAAGCATAAAAGGAATCATCTGACCGCCAGTGAAGAAATTTGGAATCACGAAGTGAAAAGCGTTGTTGGCCCCACAAGCGACAGGCACGACTCACTTACGCCCTCCGACACTTTGACAGCCCGCAAGAGCATTGCCTCATCGTCCAATCAATCCAGTTTCAGAAGGTTGAGGGGAATTAACTCCATCTGTGATCGTACCACTTCGCCATCCTTGCACGCAAGCACGTCGTCCAAAGCCCCGGCTAAAATCTCCGCGGGTCTTTTCGAAGACGTCGACGCGGTCTTGAATCTAGAGGTGCGAAAGGTCATGGACCTTGCGACCAAATTAATCGGAGAGACCTTGGATCTTTCCCTGGTGTATCTGACCGCTGTGCTACCTCCTCAAACACCAGATGAGTCCGGTCGAACGCTGATTATTTCCGGTCACAATATTCCCATACCAGTTCCAGTTTTCGACGCGAATTTGCATCTACGTGCATTAAGAGAACCCGGAGGGGGTTTGCTTTACCAAAACCCGAGCAATGCTGAAAAGTCTGCACTGCAGCCTAAAGGTTCTGGAGCGGTGGTCAATAATCTTCGACACAATCCCTACGCGTCCGCGATGATATTCGCGGTTGGCGCCGAATCTTATACTAACTCTGGTGGTTTCGTTTTGGCCGGGTATACCGATGATCCTAAAAGAGTCTTTGGTGAAGAAGATGTTTCTTTCATGAAAAAATTTGCCCATGAGTTATCTTCCCATACCTCCAAATTACTACTGTCAAATTCGACAAAACACGGAAGATTTTTCGGTCATTGACCCTTTTTAATTATCATTCTCTTCTAACAGTTGCGCACATTAAGATCCATCAAATTATATTTGTAACAATTTTCTACTCAATTCAAACCTCATCTTGATATTTCCACACCAAATCTTCAGGACATCTCAAGCAGAACCAAAAGCGAGCTCGATATTTGGAGTATTACTCAGTTTGAGATACCGTGCGCTTTGGACTTTCTTTAAAAACTGTTGTTTTCCACTTTTGCTGTAAACACATACTAGGGAATCATCATAACCTTGAGAGCCTTCGATCCCCACACCGTGGCATACATTTGCTGATGCCTATTTGCATGTCGGGAGTTGAGAGTCAATTGAATGTGTAGTTGTGTCTTGACATGAGTCACTCTATTTTGGAGGGGGGCCCTCCGGAGGGACCTATGCATCGGTGGCAATCATTGGGGGATGTGAAATTGCTAACTTAACTAAGTCCCCCCTGGTGGGAGGCTTGCTGGTGCCACCGGGCACCAGTCCAACTTAAGTGCCGCCCAAAACCGAGCTCCCGCACAGGGAGGACTTTGATGAGTTAGGTTAAATTGCCCTTTCTCCTTTCTTTTTTTTTGTTTCTTTCCACTATAGCAATTCTGTCTTTTTGTGTCCCACCCAATTGCCATGTTGATAAATTTGGGGGACACTTTCTTCATCTTCAACAAGTTATACTACAAGATTGAGTGGTGTCAAGTAAATGATCACAGTAGACTCAAATGACACCTCTTGGTCTTAGGGGACGCTCAATGTGGCACATGAGTGACAAAGAAGACCAATGGCTTGGTTTGGCTGGTTTTGAACTGGTGTCAAGTTGACTATGTACAAAGTGGTTAGAAAGTGGTTGAGAGAAAGCAACTGATTGAGATCAAAGAATAAGGAATTTCGATGAAGAGTTAAAAAAGAAGAAATTCCAACAGGGGGTGGGGAGAAATGAAGGTCAAGTAGGAAGATAGATAAGGTTTAGTCCATCAACCCTTGCTCCACCAGGACCCCACATATGCAGAAAATCCTCTTCAAGAAGTGTCATTTCATTGACAAAGAGCTTGTCAGTTTAACTTCATTCATCATCTGAGCCTAGCCAATTGATCACACGCGGCTATCTATGCCCGGAAAGGCAATTGGCCAAACAAATCATTCTCGTTTATGGGCCATAATGTCACTTTTATGGCCAGTTGGGAAATTCCAGCCATACCCGTGAGGTTGGCATCAAGAAATAGAGTTTTGGATTCATTCACGAAAAGTAGACGTTTGTACAAATCGTACAATCCGACAAGGCAAACAAAATGAAATCAATCGAAGTGACAGGGGGTATGGGATCAAATGGAATTTATTCTAGTTCGTCCAGAGGTATGCTAATACCGTTGGGACCTTTTGTTATGGTTGAATTAGGTGACCATAGTTGGATCACATTATCTTCGGCTGCACTGACGAGGTGCCAGGGTGTAGTAGGACTCCAACTGACATCTGTTGGTCTGAAGAGTTCGAATTATTCAAGGAAGGCCGTTAGTAAAGATCACGCAATTTGTCAAATGAACTAATCGCAAGTTGGCCGAGATTTACCTGGCGGTATGTCCACCGTGGATGAAGAGAAGTTCCGGCGGGCCATCCTCAGCATCATCGGGAGTCTGCTCTTCGCCGATTTTACTTAGGTCCCATATGTTAATCCTGCGATCAGATGAACCTGAACAAAACACAGTCGGATGAAAAGGGGACCATGCGAGGGAGATGAGCTCGTCTTGGTGAGATTGTAGACAGTGGAGCTTGTTCGATAAGTTTCGATTGTCCCAAAGATTGATGTTCTGGTCAGCCCCGCCAGTCACAAGCAGAAATTCGGATTGCGGTGAAAATGCAACGGTGTTTATCTCGCCGTTATGCGCCTCAATGACCACTTGAGCAGCCTTCGTTGTGTCGGGGTTCCTCGTATCCCATCTACATGCGCAAAAGGTTTAACTTTAACCTCTCAAGAATTTAATGAGACAAACAATACGTACATGAGCAATTGCTTATCATCACTGACTGAGGCGAACAAGTGGCCTTGCGATGAATGCCACGAAACGTCCTATCGGCAAAGGCGAAAATTGTGATGTGCGAAGAGTTTGGGGGGGGGCCGGTTAGGCACGTGTCAAGTACTTATACATTCAGTTGTGGGGCTTAACTGAAACTATAGAACTGTGTCCTTTGTACACACGATACGGCTCCATGACCGGATTCCCTTTTGCATAGGCAGTTATGTCCCTAATCATACATTCGGGAGAGATAATGAGATGATTGTGTCAAGGAGAGAAGCAGCTAAATTCGTACCAATGGCAGATTGTTTCGTCCTCCGATGCACTCAAAATTTCGCCAGACTTGGTTGGATTCCAATCAAGTCCAAAGCTGTTCGACATGGGAAAAACAGTGAAATTGACATCCGGGCATTAGTTTTGCGCCACTTTGAATCCATTCCGAAGATAATCTGAACATACCCTTCCTTCGAGTGCCCTCTCAAGTTGATGTCAGGCTTGCAAATATTATCTTTTGGGGGATCTGATGGATGCTTGGTCCGATCGAAAACGTAAACATCGCCTGTGATTGTTTTTCTATTCATAAGGATCCTAGTCATCAGCGATGAATGAGAATCAATGACAGGGGGTGATATATGACGCACGTCGCGATTAAGTCGGGATTTTGTGGCATATACCGCGCCCGATTTACTTCACCGACGTGCGGAATCGATTGTATGATTTTGAAACGGGGTTGGGTATCACTATAAGATCCTATTTCTTTTACCAATCAAAGGTTGAGAGGTCGTCGAACCAGGTGGTCCGATTTAGAAAATGAGCGCCCAAGTATTTCAAATCCCTGCAAAACTGAAGAGCAGCATACCTCCTGATTGCTCATCATACTTATCCAGACCCAATTCTTCGGAATTCGGATTGGGTAACCTGACATTTACGATTTGCAGATAGTTGGGCTCATTATCCGAAGTATGGGTGCCGATGAGGATCCTTTGAGTGGTATGCGACTTGTCCGCCGACAACTCTTGATCCGGGAACCATTGGGTTGTTAGGGTAGGCCAGTCCAAGGCATGTGTCAAGACTAAATCGTAGAGAAAGGGCGAGTTTTTCTTCCAAGTCTGTGGTGAAAACGGGAGGAATGAGATAATCAATCAGCCACTCTGAAACGCGAGGAACAAAACAGACTGCTTGGCAAAACAGTGAATGGAGATGAATCACGTTACCTTGTACTCCTCATTTGCTATTTTAGCCAGGGCCTATCAGGTAACCAAGCAAAGCGTCCACCAGGATATTAATCGCGTGTCAGTCACATTAGAAAAGTCTATGGGACTAGAAGAAGGTTACATGCCTGTGTTTCTTGCTCGTCAGCCTCGCCGTCAATAGCCATATTCTGATATGCTCGCTGTTTTCTTGGCAGTCCTGTTCTGGAAATTCTGAGTTGTTAAACTTTGTCGCGTTCCGTTGATTCGCTGGCTGACCAGACCAACTGTCGCTGATCGTTGGGTGTCACATACATCGGTCAGGGGTCGGGGGACCATCGGGGCTGGGCGCGCGGCTGAGCGGGGGGTAGTCATGCATATGCATTGAGTTCGAGATTCAGTGGTGCATCAACACTGACACTGCCAAACATAATTGGCAGTTTGAGGGTATCACAGTTAAACTGGGATTCACTCAACCAGGTTACACTTGGTTGCATCTCAACTAATGAAATCTTAATCCAAGGTAGGGGTACCTTGAATTCATATTTCATTGGTTGGAGTTCAACCAAGTTTAACTTGGTTGAGTGAATCCCAGTTTACTTAGGATACCCACAACCTGCCAATTATGTTTGGTGGTGTGATGCATAAAACCAATCCTTCAAAGTTTAGTCAGGAAATTACATTAGAATGTAGTACAATTTCAGCACATGAAGCTATAAAAGAGGGCCAACACCCCATTAACAAATTCGGATATGATTGTTAACAGATAGCTTCTTGCAAGAAAAAAAAAAAAAAAAAAAAAATTAACCACCACAAAACAAATTAACCACCACAAAACAAATTAACCACCACAAAACAAATTAACCACCACATAATATCACAGCACTACTGCGAGCCTAAATTTCACCCAGAATGTCACATAAAATTTGATGTGAGAGACAGGCAAGAAAAGAATGATAATTGTGGGGCATGGGAAAAAAAGAAATGCTATCATGAAAACTGCTGTGAGCAATGTTTTGCTAATGGATCTTGCTCTAGATGCACACTGGAATTTCATTGCTTCTGAAATGAAAACTTGTCTCGATCATTCTCTTTTATTTCTCTATTTAGATCCTAATGATTGATTGGACTGAAGCTTCAAAGGCAAACACACAAGAAATGTTCTGAAAACCTGCACCATGAAACAAGGATGAATTCACTTTTTGACAGGATCATGAAGCTCATACCCAACCTCTGCCCAATCTCAGGGTAATCAAAAATCAATTTATACTGAACAGTGACTTTGAAAACATTTACTGAGTCAAAATTGGGGCAGCATGATCTGGATTCCTTGATTTTGCTTGCTAGTATTCACGTGATTCACAATAGCCAGTTACAATGGCTGATCCCCTTGTTAAAAGAGACTGATAGCCAATTTTTTTAGGATGGATCTGGAATAATCTGGGTGACTGATCTGGACTACACATTCAAAAATGGATTTGTTTTTATGTATCAATGATTTGCTTATGACTGCTAAAAAAAGTTGCCAATGACTGGCTATGTTGAACCAGGCTATTATTATTATTTTCATGTAGTAGAAAACATTGCAACTTTTATATTGCTGAGAGCCCATGTTTAAAGCCTGGGGATTCAAGATAAAAAGTACAAGGGTGCCCTATGGCAATGGTGAAAGCAATACAATACAATACATGTATTAGGAAATACAGTGCATTGTATCTTTTCTTCAGACTAGGGAACACGCGGCTCCGCCGCGCTCCCAGTCTCCAGGTCCCAATCCAGGAACATTACTTCTGAGGCATCTCTACACCCAAGTTTAATCCTTAGCGCACGCGCAACGGACGCGTTCCGTTTGGCGCAACGGAAGCCAAGCGATCCCCTAATCTGTGGGGCCCAATGTATGGCTTCCTGGATAGGATCCAGATCCTTCCCTAGACCCTGAATCTCCGACCTTGGGTTGTATAACGACCGACAGGCTATTTGTTCTCGCTGAGGAATTTTGATTATGGAAAAGGTACCTTGGGGCTATGCAATGCGGTTGATCTATAAAACCTGGACAACTCAACTTCTCACAATGGACCGTGCTCGGCACATTTATGAGCCAGATGGAGTCCACCTTTCATAGATGTTGTTTTATTGCAAGAATCGCATCATAAGAAGAAAAAGGGAAATAAAAATTGAAAAGAAATATGAGGTGAAAGGATACCGAACACATCTGCTGCAAGTGGTCATCCAAACCAATCATTAGCAAGGTCGGAAAAGGTGCATTAGCAAGGTCGGAAAAAGAGAAGTATGAGAAACACGCTTACCAAAAAACGACTGACTGGAAGAAGGACATGATATGACTGTTTTATTGCTTGGGTGAAAGCAGAAAGCCATTCTAGATTGATGTTATTGAAACATCCGCGATTCACGATGACTAAATAGAACGATGGACTTACCATGAGAATAACACGAAATCGATGCGTTCATCCCTGTCAACTTTAGAAGTGAAGAGCGGAGGCTTTTTTTTCGAAAAGAAAACAAATTCGACTATTAGCAGAGACATACAGAGAAAAAAAGGGGAAAAACATTCATCTGATGAAATTGGAAGGAAATGGAAGGAGGAGTCGATCACGCGAAGCGATCTGAGGATTGTGATGAGGAAACTGTTTCCGATCCACCCTAAGTGGGTGAGGCGGTCGGAGTAGCAGTAGGAGAAGAGGAGGATCCAGCAGGTGGTGGAGTGGATGGGTCGGTGAAAGTGATGACAAGAACGAAACCAGCAAACAGATTTCTTGTCACATATTTATGCTCCAAAACAGTTATGTACCTCAGCTTAAACTGACTCAAGAATTGCTTTTAGCAACAATTCTCAATTCCTATTCTGAGCCCTCAACTCCGGAAAAGGCATAACTCTGCGGCCAAGACCGACACCGGGTTCTTCCTACCTTATGTACCATTGCTTAAATTGGATCCTATCGGCACCGAGGTATTCAACACTCTCCCTCAACCAACCCCTCCATATTCCCACACCCGTGGAAAACATCAGTCAGTGGCCGGTTTAAGTAGAGGGGGATGAATAGAATTGGAAGTCGGGGAGTAAGTGTGTCCGGATCCGGGTAGCGGTATAGGTTTGGGGCGGTGAGGCCAGGTGATGGGTGGGTGACTGAAGCCGGCCAAAGTGCGTCCGGATCCGGTTAAAGGGATAAGAGAGTTGGATTTTGAGAGATCGAATCAGGGGGAGTGGGTTTGGGGGGGGGGGTGAGTATAAAAGCAGGCTGTTGGTGAACGGGGTAAAGGCAGGTTAATAGGAGAGGATCTGTCCGCAACTTTGTATTGGGTATTGAACCCTTACCATTCGTCCCAATACTAAGTTGTGGGGCTAAATCCTGGCGGTAGACGATTAAGTCAATGTGAACCCGTGGCCGGGGACAGTTTTTCCTGGCGGTAGACGATTAAGTCAATGTGAACCCGTGGCCGGGGACAGTTTTTAGGGTCTTGGGTAACTGCTGCCCGCCGAAACAGAGAGGTGACGAATTTATCTGTTTTTAATACGTAAAAAATGGTATTGGGTGTATCTAAAATCAGATACAATACAAAGGTATTTTATCAAAAAATTACAACACATTTTTTGGCCAATTTGGAGTGTATTCAAAAACCCAACTGGGCAATACAAGAAAACACAGTATTATACTTTTTTATTGGGCTGTATTGGTGACCAGATACAACATATTAAAGTATTTGTATAGTATTGGTTTTCCAATTTTTCCAGTACAATACAGATCATACAATGTATTCAATATTGGTATAAAAACAGGTACAGATAAAGACAAATACAGATACAAGTATTTTATTGGTTTCAGTGTTACCTATGGCCTTAATGACTCCTCTTTCAAACACATATCCACAGTTTGAATATGGTTCTGATTATTTGATTACAAAATGAAGCAAATGGATCAAGACCACCTTCAAATATTGGAGTTCTCACCTGTGAGAAATAAAATCTCTGTAAAAACTTATAGAAGTAGCAATGTTCATCTTTGTCATAGGACAATATTTTTCTACATTCAGACCTCTCTATCTACATAGCCCTTGAGTATTATTCATTGGTGAGAGCTCAATTTACAATGCTCAAGAGCAACGGTGAAACCAATACAATACATGTATTTGTATTTATTTGTATTTGTATTGGTTTTTCTCTGAATACATTGTATTTGTATTGTATCAAAAAAACAGATACTATACAAAGGTATCAAAATTCTTGTATCTGGTCAGAAATACAGCCCAATACAAAAAATAAAATAATGTATCTTTTTGTTTCTTCCAAAATACTTGTTGAAAAAAGTCCAAATTGATCAAAAAATGTATGATACACAATACAAATTTTTTGAAGTATCAGAAAAAAGATATGATACAAAGCTATCTGCAGATACTGTATCTTATCAGATCTGTTTTACCATTCTCATGAGTCATCTTGCTCATAGGAAAATTGTTGTCTAGATTGAGACCTCCCTAATCACATAATATTTGATTTCCTATATGGTTTGAGGGGTCATACAGTTTCAAAGATTGCTTGTGGTTAGCTTTCCTTTAACCTATACCTCTGTTAATCCATACTCTACAAAATTAAAATAGAGTGAAATGAACCACTAATTAATTGATTTCAGGTCTAATATCTCCTCAATGAGCCATTTTCTAATATTGCAGTTGACAATAGCCCGGTTCACAATAGCCAGTCATCAGCAAAAATTTTAGCTGTAATCAGCAAATCATTGATACTTAAAAACACCTTCATTTTTGAATGTGTAGTCCAGAGTCCCCCAGATTATTCCAGATCCATCCAAAAAATATTTTTCTATCAGCAACTTTTAACAAGGTGATCAGCCGTTGGAACTGGCTAATGTGAACCGGGCTAATCAGAATTTTCTAGATGTGATTTTAGTGAACTGTAGATTTGATCAAAATGAACTAAGAAAATTTCACAACTCACATCACAAGTGTGCAACCAATCCAATCAAGACTCTTGGGATTGTTGCTCTGGGATCAAGAAAGAACCTCAGCAACATCTAATGGCTTCAAGTTCTGAGATGAGTTGTTTTGTCAAAAAGGTGACCATAAATTCACTATTTTTGTATTAAGATTAAGCAGTCAGGAGGTCTTTTAAGCAGGTCCACAAGCCAACAAGCTGATTCTTGATCCAACAACATTCCAGGCATGTGGGTCAAATAAGAGTTGATTGTATGTGAAGAATCATAATGAACCCAGTATGTGTTTAGACAGCTCTGAGTTAAACAAAGACCTTCAGAGTTGTATGAGTTTAATCAGTTTAAAAGGATGGCTCAAATTTGGATATTTTCAGAATATTTTCATTTCAAATTAGCTGAGAAGAGTAGCTAAAATTAAGCTGCTGCCACTTTTGATTTTGGCCAACTTCAGAAATTATATTTGTGGGATAAATTTTGTTCATGAATGCACAACAAAACACATGAAAATCTGTAAACCAAATTATTATCCATGTAGACCATAATTTTCACAAGTTGCTTCTCCCCCCCCCCCCCCCCCTCAACTTCAAGGAGGTTGAACTGCACATAAACAGGGACTTGCATTCAAGCAGTTATGGTGAGCACACCAGGTTTTTTTGAAAAGTAACCACTCTTTCAAATTCAATAGGGGGTATCAAATATAACCAAATCCACCATCATTTAATTGACTGGTTTGAAAAAAAAACACCCTTTTTTAAACATGTTTGTTCTTCATTTAACCCATTTTGGGGCCCATTGATGCAAAAAAAGTTTTTGGGAAAAGTAACTGGTTTCTAATTGTGGAGTTCCTATATTTGATACCCCCTCATGGGTTGGTTGCAAAAACTAACCAAGCAGAATGAGCAAAGAGTGGCCATTTGCTGTTTTTTGGTAAAAATTCTGCTTAATTAGCGTACCCCCTGTCAACATAGATTAGAAGGGGTGATTGGAACGGGGAGCCCAGGAAAGGGGTTCCAGTTCCGCCCACCAGACCACTCCCAGTATTCGAAGCACCAGCACATCCTCATCTCCTACCACAACAGTCCCCGACCCCACCCAACAAGGGCACTCCGAATCATCATCGATCAAGCATAACCACGTCGATAGTGGACCTTTCGCACTCTAAATTCATACTAAGTACGAATATCCAGTAATGTGGCGCAACGGTAACAAAGTCACCGGCACAAACGATGCACCCTTGGGTGCTCCTCGTCGCTGGGGCGGTAGCCAATCGGATTCTAAAGACTCGGGTGCATTTGGTGGTTTAGGCGCTCCGACTTCATACACCTCTGCACCTACTACAAATCGCGATGATGCACCCCCTCCTCCACCCCCTCCCGCCAGCACTGCTCCTGAACCGCCGCCCACGGAACGCAAACGTAAGAGCCGTTGGGGAGCCGAAAGCGAAAAGGTTAACGTTGCTGGTCTACCAGTTGCCATCAACGGGACCATTGATGCAGCAGATCTCGATCGCTATGCTGGTATGTATATCTTCGCTCTTCGTTCGTCATTGTGGACTCACAAAAATGGCTCACGAAAATGGCTGACATAATGGGCACTACCAGCTACCCTGCGACTCGAGCAGGTCAACAATAAACTGCGCAACGGCGATGTGGTTCCACCTGAAAAGGAGCGATCGCCTTCTCCACCTCCAACATACGACGGCCAAGGTCGCCGGACGAATACCCGAGAATTCCGTTACAGGCGCAAATTAGAAGATGAAAGGACAAAGTTGATCGAAAGGTTGATCAAAATAGACCCATCGTACCGCCCACCACTTGATTTTGAAGCGCAAAAAAAGTTTGGGGGGTAACAGGTCCGGCAGGCCTTCTGAAAAAGTCTACATACCGATCAAAGAGTTTCCAGAGATCAAGTTTTTCGGTTTGCTCGTTGGACCTAGGGGTAACAGTTTAAAGAAAATGGAGGGAGAAAGTGGCGCCAAAATCAGCATCCGGGGTAGAGGAAGTGTCAAAGAAGGAAAGGGTCGGAAGGAAGAATTCGCCGGTGATGATGATGATGAGATGCATTGTTTGGTTACGGCGGACACACAAGACAAGGTCGACAAATGTGTCAGGTTGATCAACAAAGTGATCGAAACAGTAAGCATTTTCCTGAGCAATTTTTGGTTTGTTTGCGTGGTACTGATTGTTTACCACTTGATTTCAAGGCCTGTTCGGTACCGGAAAGTCAAAACGAACAAAAGCTCAATCAACTGCGGGAGCTTGCCCAACTAAACGGTACCTTTAGAGACTTCGAAAACCAAGTTAGTCCTATTCCCATCAAAGCCTGCACTACTCAGAGCGTTGACATGTGTGCTTCCTTTTAGGTTTGTCAAAACTGCGGCAATCCAGGTCATCGCAAATACGATTGCCCTGAGCAGCGTAACTTTTCTGCAGGCATAATCTGCAGAATTTGCGGAGGCGCTGGTCACATGGCCCGGTAGGCAGACTTTGATCTTTCCCTTGATTTTCATCACAAACTTATTGAAAGTTTTCAATCACAGAGATTGTACTCAGCGACGTGGTTTCAACTCCGGGAGTTCTGCTGCTGGTGGCGGTGTAGCCCAGGCGTTCGATTCTGAGGTACTACATTTTGGCATTTTGCTTCCTCCGCTTGTCTATTGCCGCTAATCCTGAATTTATTTCGAATAAGTACGCCTCTCTCATGGCCGAGCTAGGCGAGACTTCAAAAGTTGCCCCGATTTCTGAAGAAGGTCAGAATGGCCAATCTGATACACCGAAGCATCAATCCAATTGGGCCGGCCCCCCTGGCTCATCAACACCAGCTCGGAATGGTGACTCTGGTGCCCCATCAAATACGGTGCCACCATGGCGTGTAGCCTCGAACTGGTGAGTTCGCCCAACTCGATTGAAATATGTGCATCCTTATGAATGATCCCCATCATCACAGGCATCCACCCCAGCCACCCCAACACCACGGGGGCCCCTACGGCCAGCGGAATGCTTATGTATTCAATGCCGCTCAGCACGGTCATCACAATCATAATCATCATAATCATCATGGTCACCCGCATCAACACCATTACCACGGTCAACATGCACACCACCACCCTCAGCAACACCAACAACACATCCATCAACATCAGCCTGCCCAGCCGATCATGCCAACTGGTGCACCAGGGACAGAGGCAGGTCTGGCATCAGCTGCGCCTAGTTTTGTCCCTCAAGGAGCTTACGCTGGTTACTATGGTCAATAATTCCATTGACTGACTGTAACAAGTAGCGACTGAAGAGTTTTGCCAAGGATTGAAAAAGAAAAAAAAAACGCCGTGCAAGGTTGCTGGTTACGATAAAAACTACAACACTCGCGAACAATAGATTCAATGGGATTCACAGCAACTATGCCAGCTGACTTCTGTTGACTAACCCACTTCCTTTACTCACCAACAGTTACTATAGCCTCTATTTGTCTAACCTTGTTAATCTGATTTTTTTTTGTTTACCTGAATCCTGTTCCCTCGATCCATCCGCTCATGGCATACATGGCCCCTAAGTTTACTGACGAGTTATATACTTCTAATTGATGAAGTAGCATGCTGACTATTAACTAAACTACTAACCCCTTAATACCATCTTCAAGCCTTCGAAACAGAAAGGTTTCATCCATTCATCTTTGTTTTTTGACTCACGCACCTACATACTAACCTGTCTCACGTGACGACTTATGCTGTTATAAGCTGAGCCATGAAGGCTAGCTGGCCTTGCGCAGCGCCTTCCTATCTTTGGGATACTGATGGGTCTGAATTGAAGCAGATTCACGCCGTAACTAGAGCTATGAATACTAACCTACTAGTACTAAGACATTCATTCCGGCAGCTTGATTGAAAGGCCATGTTGCCAGATGCAGTAACCATTGACTGACAATGCGCTCAGTGTGCCATGGCTAATGGATTCTATTTCAGCTCCTCATTCTGCCCAGTTATCGAACAGAGCTTGGACGCGTCCATTAATGTGGGAGTTGATCATGTCAGCATTTTGTATCCTTAATTGGTCGATTGCGCGCTTGCTCAGCTCACATGATTGACAATCCATGTATTTGTCCTTTCTATTTCATTCATGGTCGGCACCTGGCCTCCCAAAGCCCCACAACAGTTACAGTCCACAACAGTTACAGTACTCCACCTCAGTACATGCCCCACCTTGAGCGATACGTCTATGGTGAGCTGATTAAGTACGACTATTTGCCTTGGAATTTCCGTTTTATTGAAGCAAGTGATTTCTTCTGGATGTCGACTTTTGAGTTTTTTTGACAATTAATTCAAACCTATTGTGGTCCATCGCTGCTTTTTCGATAAGGCTTGTTCTTACTTTTTCGAGCCATCTTCTCGCTTCTATATTGGAAGTGGCTTCCACGTCAGACATGACCTCACAATGTGGGGAACATCCTGAACATTGTGACTTTGAGCGTTCCTTGAGTATGTAGTGTGTAATGTCGAAGCCGCACATTTTTTTGCGTTTCCGAGGGCATCTCTCTGCCCACCTGGAGCTTTCAAGGCACGGCAAAAATCTTAGACAATAGTAACTGCACCCATTTTATTTGGAAATAGCCTACCCAGGTGGGTACGGTGCGAAGATTGGGCAGGGTAAAAATAACTGGTCTCGGTGCTCGGTACTATCGGACCGAGTTAGTCTGGCACTCACCCCCGCTTCAAGCACATTTGTCCACTTCTGTTGGTAGGGACTGAGTACATGACAGCCGAGGCACTCTTGGCTCGTAGCTCACCGGCGATGGCAGCTGTAAGGCGCATAGGTGCTGTTTTCTGAAACCCAGCTTCTCGGTTGCTGTAGCATCCAAAGAAATGATCCTTGCACTCCGTGTGGGTTGGATAGATTTTATAACTAGTCGTCAGTTCGAGCGGTAGAGTAATTTACATTTTCTGCCTCTTCATGGCAACGGTCTTTGTAATTGACCATGGCGATGCCCTCACACCCTACATTCATGTCCTCCGTGAAACACTACGCATGGAATAATGCTCAGAGATCACTCGGAGTCCCACTTTAAGCTCGACAATAGAGCGCGACGGGAATCCTTTGATCCGTGAGCACTTTTGTCATTTTCATTCACAGAGCATCTACTATCCAAAATTCAAGACTTCCTGGATAGTTACCACTCAACTCTTCTCTAAAACAGGCGATATGAGTTGTCGCTGTCGTGGTATCATGTGGTATTTTGGGCTTCTCGCCCAGGTCGCTTTTTCTCAACACCAAGCTCCTGATCCCTCCGAAAAACCCGAAAATGCAGAAGCTTCAGCTCCATTGCGGATAGCCAAAATGCTGGAAGGACAGGCAATCGTCAACCGGTGGCTTGCTTCTTTGAATTACCATGTGTTAGGGCTTTGCGTGATTGTAAGCATCAACGTTTTCAAGTGACTCCGATCAGTTTTTCTAAATAAAGAGGAGGGGATTCTGATTCAATTATCCACAGCTTTGTTTGATAATCGGAGTTATACTGATGATCCGAAGGGGAGCTCGAGCATTCCACTTTGGATGGTTTTTGTACGGCAAACCCCCGAGAGGTCAAGTCTTCCAACCTGCCCACGTCTCCCAACATCCTAAAAGCTGGCAGGCTGAATTGGGGGCAGTCAGACAAATCTACGGCTTCACGTTTCTGCAAAACGTTCCGCTCATTTCTAATTTCACCTTCGGTCAACTCACACTATCAAGTGTGAGTCAGACACTATCTTATTAAGTTCTTTCTGGAGAAATCATTACTGAAACCAGTCTTTTCTTTGTTTATCGATAGTTTTTTGTTGGATTGGTCGTGATCCTAGCTGTTCTCTCTAACCCAGCTCCAACCCAGAACCCTAGGAGATTTGGCTACCTGGCAGCGGCGAACATACCTTTCTTGGTCTTATTTTCGATGAAAAACTCTCCACTAGCATTACTCGGTAAAGGATATGAAAAGGTAAACTCAATCCACTTCTCCAAATCCATTTAAGGAACTTCATAAAAATCACCGTATCATGGTGCGGCCACTTGCGAAGTAAAGAATTGCATCGGAAATATCTATTTATTACTCATTTCATGATTTTATATATACTGATTTGATTTGATTTGATTTGACTTCTCCAGTTAAACTTCATCCATAGATTCATTGGCTTTGTGGTGATTGCATGTTCTTTGATTCATGGGGGTCTGATGACCTCTTTTATGTCGCAAGGCAAGATTTCGAACACAAGAGCCTTCTATAGTGGCTGCTTTATGGGTTTCATGTTGTTCGTCAAACCTGCATTCTTTCCAATGGGACCTAGAAACCTTTCATGGATCTGATGGTATTTCCTTGAAATAGGTTGCTGGTCGGTATTACAGCGATTCCCGCCATTCGAAGAAGAATCTACAAAATATTTTATATCGTCCATGTGCTGGGTTATCTCTCACTATTTGCAGGTGGGATCTATCATGAGAAAGCTCTTCGGCCTGTAAGTAAAATGATCTATGCGAATCGCGGTCAATTCAAGCTCATTAATTTTAGAAAACACTTCAGTACATGATCTCGGCAATCTCACTTCATTTACTTTCAAGTGGATGGCAAGTACTCAAATGGAAGATGTACACTGCGACACTGACGCCGCTTCCCGGGAAAATAACCCGAGTCGAAATAAATGGAATCAAAACTGGCTGGAAAGCAGGTGAGTCGTATGCCATACCTCAAATGCTGGATTTTGCAATAGATGTAGAGCTGATCACGTAACACTCATCACGTAGGGCACCATGTTCGCTTGAGGGTGCTCGGCAGCTTTTGGCAAGGCTTACAAGCACATCCTTTTACCATAGCATCTGCTCCTTCAAGGAGTGGCAGTGAAACAAACAGCCTCATATTATATGTCAAAGCGGTCGGAAGCTTCACCACAATGCTTTATGCCAAAGCAGTCACTGTCGATGGATTCAGTGACATAAGGCCCGTTTCGCAAAGCAGATTTTCAAATGGATCACAAAAACTAGTCCAACTTCCCAGCGACATATGCAGTTCTATAACCAATTCGGAAAACAAGAGCTCTTCAGTTGGGTCAATAGGAACACTACAAAACTCAGATAAGAATCATCATGGGACAATATCACGTATGGCCACCTTGGATATTGGCTTGCCTGATGGAGTTGAAGTGAATGTTCATGTTGAAGGGTAAGGATCCAAATCATAGTCGGAATCTTCACCAGTCAAAAAATAAGCAAATGCATAATTGTGTCTCATTTTATCTGGGAGAACAGTCCGTATGGAGGGATTGGATGGCATGGCTTGGACGAGTTCAGGGATGTGATTATTTGTGCCGGGGGTAGTGGGATTTCGTTTCTGGTAGCGGTCGTGTCGGAGCTTGTTTCCTTAGCTAAAGTCGGGGGCATCACTAAGAGAGCCTTGGTGATATTTACAGTTCGAGATTGGGGTAAGAATTCTTTTTAAAAAAAAGAAAAGAAAAAAACTAGCTCATGAGCATGAACTGACTTCTTGTTTTATGTGTTCCCAATTCAAATTATTGATAGAGGTTGCAAAATATTTTGGAAATATCCTTGCAAGGGATATTGAAGAATCCTTAACGTATGGTCTTTCCCTGGATGTGAGATTTTTTGTCACAGTCAAAGTGGAAACCCCCATTCCTTTGGGGGACATCAAGATACGATGGCAACGTCCATCTCTGGATGTACTAGTCAAAGAATTTTTGATGGATGTTGTAGGTGGTCAAGGAGTTGGTCTGGGTGCTTGTGGCCCCCCTGGCTTGATGGCACAAGTCAGAAGCTCTGTGGCAATGATTGATTTGAAGACTGCAAAGAGAGTGGGTGGTATCAACATGCATTTGTAAGTTTTTCACAATCCCTGAATTATCTACAAAAATTACTTGCTGAGGTGATTTAAAACTTATCCTTCATTACCTGAATCATTGCTCCATTTTAGTGAAGAATTGGGTTGGTGAGGGCTACAAATTCTGTACTTAACTATTCCAAAAGTATATGACAATTTATAGGGACAAGAAAAATGGTCTGGAAAATCTTTACTTACCAGCTATTCTTACTTTTTGAAGAACACTTCCTTTTTATGGTGTTAATGTATATTTTCTTGAAAGATTTTTCTTACTACCTGAATATTTTTATAAGGGGAAATTTTTTATTTGATTTTCCCTTCTGTGTACCAAAAAAGCTTGAATTAGACTTCTTTGCCTATCTATATTTCTTCCAAAACTTTCATCAATTTATGGTGTGGTTATTTTTGTGTGCTTATTGTTTCTGGTTGTCAATTCTGAAACCCTCTGCCGTACAGTGGCACCGTTGTTTGCACCAATGAAAGCATAGAAATAACCGTTTCTTTTTTTCCAAAAAATATCTAGTTCAGCACAATAGGTTTCTATTAGTAAGTGGAGTTGAATGAGTGGCAAATCAATCTTGAAGAGTTTTCCATTGATTGAAGGTAACCAACCTTGTTATTTGAGAGGGCACACCTCTTCCCCCAAATTCAATTTCATGTTGCAAAACCTCACAGTGTCAGACCCTTCAAAGCAGCCCAAGTGTGGGAATTTTGTCATTCCTAGCTTGGGCCAGTGGTGCTGACAGATCATTTGCTGCTTTTCCTAACTTTTTTTGGCTAGAATCCCTTCAACAATTGTGAATTATTAACTGGTGGCAGGATGCTTAGAAATTGACAAACCCAATTGAAAAATGAAACTCTTGAGGCATTTGTGTGTGCACAAGATAGAGACTGGATATGTATCTGTGAGGGCATCAACCTTCCTGATTTATAATATAATACTATGTTATGCCTGTCTAGAAGGATTGCACAGAATTAGCTATTTTCTCTGGCCTCAAATGCATGATTGTATATGTGAAATCAAAGCTATGTTGCTTGCTAAAAACTAAGAATGAATCAGGAACCAAACCAGACCCAAAGTGATTTTTAATGAGGCAGTTGTGGATAGCCTTTTTCATTCTTCAACCCAAACCACCCTAACCCAAATTTAGATGGGTTTGGTATGGGCACTGTCTTGTTCAAGGTGTGGAAATGCGTACAGCATGGTATGCTTTGATCAACACCAGTGTTGTATTTTGTTCATGCTGGCTCTAATTCTCATATGTTTTTCCTCACTGAATCTAAACATCATTTAACTTCTGTGTCCAGTCACTGTCAAGAGACTCAGAATCTGCGACTTTCATTTCCCAAGCCTGGTCCACCTCAAAGTCAACACAAGGGCTCTTTAAAGGGAAACATCTGGTTTGCTTCATTCACAAAAATCATTTGAGGTCAAAAGGAAAAGGATGATCTGAAAGAGATGATAATAAAGAGGACTTTTACTGTGAGAAATTTTATTTACCATTAACTCATTAGAACTACTTGTTTGGTGTGGTGATTATTTGAACAAAAACATTGGCTAGTTTTTTTTTTGGGGGATTAATAAACGTACCCCCCTTTTCTGCTATCCACACCCGGTTTTTCACACCTGGTTTTCTGCTTCTACACCCGGTTTTCCCCAGCCTTTTTAATTCATTTTTTGGAAATTCTGAATATGCTAAAAATCTTCTAAAATTGATCATTCTTTTTGGGTATATAAAAATCCTCAAAAGAGAAATTTTAATTTTAATTTTAATTTATCTGATTCATCAAGTTTTTTTTTCTGCCCATGAGTTTTTGAGAATTCAAAGTACATTCAAATTTATCACTCATATTGCCCAATCTTTGGGAAATCTATAAAGGACCAAATTTGATTTCATTTTGGAAATCCCAATGTTGTTGGTTTTGAGCTATAAGCAAATGGACAAAATAAGGAATATCGTGAATGGTACCATCGGTATGGAGAAGACAAATTAAAAACTTGACAATTAATAATAATTTTTTGGCTTTAATTCAAGTTTTCAAGAGTTCGTAGGGTCAAAAAAAAATTGGGAAACAATGGGTGAGAAAAATAAAAAAAATTGAAGTTCTCTTTTGAGGATTTTTTATATACCCAAAAAGAATGATCAATTTTAGAAGATTTTTACAATATTCAGAATTTCCAAAAAATGAATTACAAAGGCCGGGAAAAACCGGGTGTAGAAGCAGAAAACCAGGTGTGAAAAACCGGGTGTGGATAGCAGAAAAGGGGGGTACGTTTATTAATCCCCTTTTTTTTGGGTTGATTTGATGGTGGACCAAGAAATCTGAAAAATGTTGCTGAGGGGGGATAGGCTTTTTAAAAAGTTCAAAAAAACTGTGCTCACTTCATATTGATGGCTTCTCCACTTACATAAGTTGAACAAGTTTCACATCTGTTTTGCAATCATCTGGGCTGGGGGTCGGGAATGCACATTTTCAGCTCGAATCCGCGGATCCTGATTATCCGACTCGAGGCTGCCTGGTTCACTCGATCCTCCGACATCTTCATCTCAATTCCCGCTACCGTCCTTTGGGCATTCTTGCATCAAAACCCAGTAGGCGTATCCGAGAGGCCCGAATTCCGTGCAGTATGCTCCGCCATCCACGAGCCCTATCCAAAAGTATGTACGTCCTTTCTTTCTTTCTGGGCTGTAGTGTGCAAGTTTTTAGTAAAATTAATGAATCGCTTGACTTGTCCTAAAAATGTAGTCATCAAGATAACCCACCATGGCCAATCACATACCTCTCGGATATATTCTCAACTACCCAGTCCGTATCGTCCATCAATCCAGATAATGAGAATTCATAACCACACAAAGGTTCGTCATCCTTAACTTGCCGAATCCGATCGGTTCTACCTGTGAGTCTTTTAATTCGATTCCAGCTGAGTTTTTTTTTTTCTCTCTTGATTATTTATTTAATCACCTCTTGGTGATTGATTTATTCAGGTTAATAATCAAGAATTTACCGGAAAAGCCGTCTCCCGCGATGCCACCGATCTCCCTCAGAATGAACAGCAACCCAGCGACCACACAGACCTACGGACATCAAAAACGATGAAGACCAGCACGAGATTTTGGGACAACAAGTCGCTATTATGTGTCCGAGAGCGCAACGATGACGACCTTAAGACAAGCACAGCGAGTGAGGAGAAAGCGATGGATTTCAACCCGGCGGTGGATGCGATGAATGCGTTCCGGATTGCGACGCTCATCGTCTTCGGGCTCACCGTGCTGACGATTGGCGGGTTGAGTAAGCGATGGGAACTCGACGGCTGGGAGGATTGGAGGATATTCATCCAGTCCGGTCATCTCGGCAAACTGTTGATCCCCGAGAACTGGTCCCGATCCGCATCCCAAGCCATCCCCGATCGTCTAAGGCCTACTCCCGTCCCCCTCTCTGAACAAGAACTTCTCGACGAACTCGAACTCATCAGTAGTTGGAGTTGGAAAAAAAGGGTCGATCGTGAGTGGGAAGTCGAGCGAAATCGAAGAGAGGCCGAAAGACTCCAATGGGAAGCTCAAAGAAAAGCGCTAGGGAAAAAGATTTGGTGATTGCATGATATATACCAGTCCACAAGCGAGGACCACACCACCGCACTCAATTCAGTGTCCCTCTTTCCCATCCCGCCTGAAGTTGGCCATTAGTCTCATGGCCAAAATAGTTGAGATTAGATGTTGAACAGCTGTATTTTAAAAAAATTGAAAAACATCAAGCAATTATTCTGTTTCAAGATGCGGACCTGTTGCGTTGATGTCGATGACGAGCGCAACCAAAATTGTAATTAAACAAAGTATAACAATGAGAAAAATGAGAATAAATTGTGACAAATTGAACAACACAGTGGGATGGATAGAAGAGCGATGTGGAGAACTAAAAGATGGAGAAATGGAAGAGGAGAAAGAAGGAAGATTTCCTAGTCCTCTTTTTCGGTTGACTCGTCTTGGCTGCTGCCATCTTCGTCAGTGCTACTTCCAATGAGAGAAGCCAGTTCCTCATTCACTGCAGCCACTTTAGGGTCCGGTTGTCGGCTGGCTCGTGGCCGACTAAAAGAGTCAAAAAAAAAATGAAACAAGTTGAGCCTTCCTTGTTTCCCATTTTGAAAAAAAAAAGGATCAAGAAGAAAGCGCCAAGAAAACAGTCATGACTTACCCTGAACGTCGCGGCGCAGGTCCTTCGTTTTCGCTATCTGTTACCTCTTCGTTTCTCAGACTGGCCATCGAAATCCTTGCCACGGATTTGATGGATTTTTTGGTCCTGTATGTAGTTCGCCGTAGAAAAATGTATTACATGAGTGCTCAAGAAAACAAAAGTTACCGAAATAACTTTGGAATAGACATAACAAATAAGAAAAAAGAAAACTGACGGAGTTTTCTTGACGACTACTTTTGCACTGTAATCATCATTTGCGGCGTCAGGATCCGAGTTAAGATCATCGGCTTCACTGCTCCCGTTTCCGTCTTGATCTCCATTGAATTCATCTATGAAGTCTTTGAATTCTTTCAACTCCTCCTCCTCCTCCTCTTCAGTCTCTTTGTCAGATTGGTCTCCTTTCTCGGCACCTTCACTGAGTTTTTCGGCAAATCGTTTTTCCAAGGACGTGTGGAATTTATTGAGCACGTTTCGAGAGAGTGAATCTGTGAGTGGACGTTTCTATCAAACAAACAAAAAAAAGTGAAATGGTTGAATGTCTTAGAATATGTGTAATCAACAATCAATTTAAGCATTGCATCAGCTGGGAAAAGATAACTCGGACATACTTCATCGAGCTGGCTTATCAGGAGAGACAAGCCCCGCAGCTTGTGGACGTTATCGAGTGTATCCGGGAGTGTCAACTTAGGTAGCATCTGACAGAGCATTTTTCTTTCGTCCTCTGGAACCCAAGGTTGAAACGTTTAGCCAAAAACGATAGCTATTGCATTTGATCAAAGAAATATCAAGATGTAGAAAACTAACTTTCAGTCACTCGGTAGAGGTTTTTCAGGATATCTATGGCAGCATCTAAATGTAAATCCCAGTCCACTTTGCAGCCCGGTAAAACACTACATGGGTATGAGATGAAAGACAAGCCAAATGTAATGGTCAGCTGAGGAAAGAGAACATTCATCAAAGAGACGACTTACACGACTTTGGAGGGGTCGGTCCAATCAACGAGCTGTAATGCAATCTGACTGGGTGACAACATCTCACTCTTATCCTCTTGATCATCGTATACTCCGCTCAAAACATCTAACGCTGGAAGCATCATCTGTTTCAATCCGAAGAGAAATATGAGAGCTTGTTTGAATCGTCGAGAACAATTAAATCACGAACCGATTGCATTCGACGCTGGTTGACAGACGAACAGTAACAATAAACCGGAAGAAAGTAACTCAAACACTGTCGTAGTTTTTGGTTGTCGCACGTCTCTGGCGAGAAATAGACGAGAACAAGCATTTGAAGGACCTGTTGCGTAGCGTTAGTAGTGATATCATAAACCATAAATATAAACGAAGCTACATGTCAATGAAATTCTAGCAAAAAATGGCTCGTACTTCAGAACTAGTGATGATTCCTGATAGCATTAGCTTAGATATTCCGATCACGGCCGTGGCTTGAACGTCTTTAGAGTCTTGATCCAGCGAGTATAACAGAAACTCAATCACCCTTTCCGGCTTTAAGATTGGAAAAATATCAGACATGTACACTGAGGTTGTGGGGCAGTAGAGGAAATGGACGAACCCCATGCCCTTTTTCAGCAAGGAAATCGATTCCATGCTGTAGCAACAAGTCAAATACAATTTTGAGCACCTTGATTCTAAGATCGATCTCTGCGGCTTGGACTTGGTGGACAAATACTCCAAATGAATCCAACGCGATTTGCTAGTGGATAGAATTGAAATTCACCGTAAGAGGGACATCCCAACATGGGCTGCAGCCTTTGTGATTGATGTTGTGAGTGGAAAGGTCTAACCTTGTCTAATAGACTGCATAGCCCCAAACATACCAAACCTCGTTCACGAATCGGCGTATCTTTACATCTTACAGCGGGGACAATCAATTCGTGAACGATCCCAAACATGCTGGTATTGTCTTTGATTGACTGAAACATCATCCAACCCAACACGAATTCAGTTACGCATCCATCTCAAGAGATTAAGCTGGATTACTCACACCGGAGACTCGCTCCAACAGGGACCTCACGATCTCCAAGCATCGAGAGTCCAAGTCGGCATTGGCCGGATTAAGTGTAAAAGTGGTCACTTGCAATTTCCCATCTTTACCTTTCCTAAAACTAGCCTCTCCCGCTCCTTCATCGGGTTCACTATCATCATCGTCATCATCCTCTTGTCCATCGGGAGCACCATCGACATTCTTGCTAGTCGTGAAATTCGGATCGGTGTCTAAATTACATCGCAGTTCTTGAACTAATTCAACAATCACTCGCATGAAATCCCTTTCGCCAGTTGATAGCTTCGATAGTACTTCGAGACATCCTGGAATCAGGGAATGCGGTAAAAGTGGATCGGAGACTAAATCACCTGTCATGAGCAATACCGTTCCAAACGGTTGAAGATTAGCTGAATGTTATCTAAGGGAATAAATAGACAGCGATTTATCCTACGATTTACGTAATAATGAAAACATCTTCCGCCGTCCTATCTCATCCCCATAATCTGCCAGCATCGCCACCGTAAGTAATTCGCGGAGAACAAATGTTTTTTGCGCGGCCAACTGTACTTTCTCTGCCGTTTCTTCATCTTCCATCTGACTAGGCGATAGTTGTTCAACCGTTTGCAAGAGCTCAGTCAGAGCCTGGAAATTATGTTCCATGCGAAAGGCTAGCGCGGTCACGACGGGCATGACCTCGTCAAGTTTGGTCTCATCCTATGAAAATCAAAGAAATCATTAACAGGTCAGAACCAAGAAACTGACAGATCTTAATCCAATTTTGGCAAAGCTTACCGAGAAGGATTTGTAATGTTCAGCAGCAACTCGTAGCAGAAAGGCTCTTTCGGGGTTAATGTTTGTCCACCAAGAGTCCGACCCAAACTCGTCAGGTTGGTCATTTTCAACCTCATCTAGTTCCAGCGTGGGGTCTAATCCATGACTAGTTAGCCAGGTTTTTACGACGTTTTCGATGTTCTCGATCTTGTTCTTCTCATCCTCATCCTCTTCACCAAATCCCAACGAGATCAGATCCATGGTAGCCAGGAAAGCTTCGATGTTTTCTTTGAAGCCCACCTTGATCCAACAGTTCGCCAAGTTAGCAGTTTCCTTCCGCACGCTCTCTTCACGATCTTTGAGGCCTTTTAATATTGTATAACGCTGGTCTAGACTGAAACACTGTGATGGATCGGGCGGGAGCGTAGGTTCAGGCTTGGCAAGCGTCGCTAAATACAGGTCACGGTATACCATGCGGCGGATGAGGGGATCGATATCTCTAAGTCGAGTGAGGATGGCGGGTAGAGTCGTGGTAGAGGGTGTTTCACACAATTTATGCAAAACAGTTCGTCGGACTTCTCTGTGGGGAACAAAATAGGTTCAGAAGTGATCGGGGTAGTGCGAAATGATAAGGTGGGCTACTAACGAGGACGGATCACGCATCATGAGGTCGATTAACGCGTCATTGACGTTTTCTTCAGAGTCTTCCTCTTCATCTTCTTCATTGACTGGACGAAAATTCATGAGGGCGATTGCGGCTTGTTGTCGGACATCTTTTTCTTTATCGTGGATTCGAATGAGAAGCTTGTGTTTCAAATCGCTAAACAAATCATCACTAGAACAACAACGAAATAAAAAAGAAACGATTAGATGGCGCAGTCAGCAAAGAAAAAAAAGACAGGTCTCATGTAAACAAAAAAAAAAACGAAAATCGGATGAAGAAATCTATTTACTCAATTTCTTCCAAGCTATTGACGACATAAGCTATGAGCTGGCAACACCGAAAACGGACAAATCGATTTTTTGCTTCAAAGCCGCGACTGAGATATTTGATTGAATGGAGTAGGAATCGATTGGTAGCAGTCTGATCTTCTGATTCTTTGTGAGGATCTGATGAGCATCATGAAGATAAAACAAAATCATGATGTGTGAGTAGATGATAGCTTCATGAGTGAAAACGTCATCTTGTTTTCTAAATAAAATTATTCACCATGTTCGGTAGCAAAGGCGCAAAAAGCCCCAAAGAATCGAACCACCCGATCCGCTTCGACGACGCCCTTCTTAGTGGAGACAATATTATCGAGTACGGTGTAACACGCCTCAGTGAAATTCTTCTCTCCGATCAACTTGATGGTCTTGTCCGTTCCGTCGCCATTTTCAATCTGTTCTCGGATCTCAGTTGATGATAAGAATAAACTGTGCAGATTGTTGACGAGTTTTCTGTGACTGGTTAGGGAGTGTTGTGACTTGTTGAAGAGTGTGAGGATCGAGTTGGTTAGGCTGGTCAGGGTGTTTTCATGTTTTGAGGGTTTCCCGTTCTGTGTTTCTTCTATCTTCTCTGTTTCCTGTTCGTTCTCCTTGCCGGTCTTCTTTGATGCGGCTGATGTTGTTTGCTTGGGGTTCTTCTTGGTTTTTGTTCCAGCCGTTTGTCGTGCCATCGTGTTGACCGGTCTGTATGGTTGGTTTGGCTTCGTTCTCTGATCTCCGCCAATCCAATCACGACCCCGGACCCCCTCTTGGCACTTCCCCCCCGGCCCCGGCCACCCCCGCAAACCCACGCGATCGACTCGACCACGAACTTGACACTGACAGCTTCAAGTTCAACCGTCTCGTTGGTCTCTTCATTCTCGATCCGTTCACGAGCACTCACCGATCCCGTCCGTCGTCGTTATCCCTCCGATCTTCTCATCTCCTTGGTCTTGTCGGTCCGGTCTTCGTTCTCGATCCGTTCTCTGAGGTCTCACCATTCTATTTGTCGTCGTTAACCCCGAGGCTCGATCACCGATTTTATTCGTCGTCGTTAACCCTCAATCACCGATTCTATTTATCGTCGTTAAACCTCAATCCACTCATCTGTCAGTTCTGTCTTCTGCCAATTATATTCCTTCTACCAATTCTATTCACCTTTGTTTCTTCTTTTCTCTCTCATCACTCAATCTCACATCCACTGACTCCTGCCCAACTCAAATCAAATTCAACCCAGTCTCTTGCTCATCACACCTCCTGACTCTCTTGACCTTTTGTCTTGGCTTTTTCCAACTGGTGAGAAAAATAGCACTCACCTCTCAACTTCTTTTTCATCAGGCCAAAAATTAACTAACTTCTTTTGTATCATTTTCATTTCAGTATCTACCACTTTTCTCTTCTTGATCTCAAGAAAGCTCTAATTCTAGTTGGTGTAATCAAACCCATTTTTCATCATCACCTTAACCCTTGTCACTGACCATCTTTGCCTTTTCCCCATTTTGTTTCCTTGCAGTCCAATCAAGTCACCAATTCTATTCGTGGCCGTTAGCTGTTAACCGTTGTCTTTCACTGAGATTACTACTCGTGGCCATTTGCCAAGATTGCAATCAAACCCAGAGGATTGGCACGCCCACTGCTTGACACTTAGCAACTTCACCGTTTCTGGATTGCAAATGTCACATCGAAAGCGACAGCGTCCCAGCGCCAGGGACTTCATTGATCGGCCAGCACCTCAGGCTCCCGTGATCGAGGACACCCCACACCCAATCAACTTTGCTCTGTTGACCACACCAGAAGGGAATGCCCAACCGGAGGAATACCTCAAAAAATTAGAAGAATTCAACGAACATGAGCAAACCATTGAGTTGATTAAGGGAAAAGATAAATTCGATCTTACCTACTCCTCATCAAATGATCACCATCTCTACATTATCAAATCCCCTCAACATGATAACAAAATCAAAGACGTGCTAGATTTTCAACACATAGCCACACTGTTGTGGGGTCCAGGAAAACGGGAAGTGGCCGACGGGAAAGCAATCTACCGGGGTCTGCTGAGTTGCCAAGCAAACGATAAAGTGGTGACGACCGAAGAAGTCTATGCAATCAAGTTTTCCTCTCAACGGTCAGCAGAACTTGCTAGCGGAATTGTCGAGTTCAGTCTCAACAATTTTTTGATGTCAAGACACCACAGCGAGGACAAGCCATCGCTGCTAATTCAAACAAAGATTGGATCGACCCGTTGGTTCATGAAGGATTGCGACTCTCCCATGGTTGAGGCCGACTGGCGAGTAATTCGCAAGCAAACTCCGTACCTGAGGCCTCTGACTAAACCAGAGGAGAGCCGTCCCCAGCAGCAAAACCACTTACCTGAGAATGATCGACTCGCCTTTGAAATCTCTTACCTCCCCTCTTCCTTCGACATCCCCAGAATAATTGATAATCTTTTGCAACTCAAACTCCTTGACCTCCCGACTCAAATTAAAATGACCAAAGAATCCAATTCAGAAACTCCCATCCGGATTCTTCTCAGATTCAGTGATCCAACATCGGCGGTCATTTCCAAAATCAATTTATTCAAGTTTGGATTGAAATCAGAGGAAAATGAAACGGTTACTTTTTTGACTGATGACGGTGAGTAAAATTCTCAATTTTCTCTTTTCCTAGTTCTATATCATTTTTGTTATCTTTACTTATATTGCTGCTGGTGAGTTTCAGGGGATAGTTCGATTGACGATAAGTGGAAAATTTGGTCCAATGCAATTGTGTGGGATGAGCCACGCATTAAAGCATATGGTAAGTTTTAACATTTGTATTTTAGAGGATTCAACTTTGAACAAGCTGATTTAACAAATTTTTTTGTCTTATGTAGTACAATCCCAAAACCAGATTCAGGCAGTTAAATCAGAAGACGAAATTGATGAGCTTGATGATCAAGGGGAAACCAAGGTTTCAATTGTAGACAGCGAGTGTCCAGACAGTCAAAAGTTTTTTGAAAGCTCGGACGAGTTCTCAGACCAACCTCATTCCAGGCCGCCCAAGCAAAGTAGTTCCAGAGCTTATGTCCAGTCAATTCGGCAACGTCAAGCATGTGTTGAGAGAACAATCTTGCGACTTACGGTTGAGGTGGAAAAGGACTACTTGGAGCAGAAGGCGCAGGACGATGGCAAACCAAGATCAAAGTTTTACAACATCTCCGAGCAGGTTGGGGATGATAGAAAGTATAACAAACTTATGAAACAACTTGCAAGGAGACGGTTGCTAAGGCGACAGTTGAAAAATCATCGGAAAATCAAGGATTTGCCGGTCAAAGTCAAGCAACAACGCAAGGAATGGAGGAAGGAACAGCGCCAAAAATTTCGAGATGAGGTGATTGAATCTGGGGATGAATCTAGTGGAGAAGATTCTGACGACTCCAGCAAAGAATCCAACGATTCCGACGAACCAGATGATCAACATCTTGCAACCTGCCCACAAGAGGAGTGGGAACAAATCCGCAAAAAACAACGAATCAGACGAGTCATGGAAGAGTGAGTTTTATTTTTATTTTATTTTTCTACATTGATGTGTGTCTTTTACAAAATCCTGATTAATTTGTTTCTCCTTACAGACAAGAAAACAGTCCAGGTGCTAAGGGTAAGGATCCGGAAAAGTAAGTCAATACATGGATCTTTCTGATTGATTGATGACCCTGAGAAGTAGTCAACTGACAATCACATGGTTATTTCTTTTCAAGTGTACGGTTGTTCACCAACGATGAAATTTACAAACACAAATTTGCAAGGCCTCATGAGCCAGGGCCCGGTGACCTTGAATAAAATAGCAGTAGCAGTTCTTGTTTTTATTTATTGATTTTATATATCACTCTTGCCTGATTTCCTTCTTATTGTAGCTTCAAGTCTGATCAGCCTTGATGGCAATATTTTATTGATTTTATATGTATTACTCTTGCCTAATTTTCTTCTTATTCTAGCTTCAAGTCTGATCAGCCTTGATGGCAATATTTTATTGATTATGTGCTATGAATAAGATGATTGAAAATACAGGAAAGTTTCTGTGCCACTTGATGAAAAACAGGAATTGAAATTGACACTAAAAACAGAGCTAGAAAATGATAAAAAACATGATGAGTTTGAATATAAGGAAATATCACAATTTAAAGAATATGAAAGAAGCATACCACAATGAGAATCAAGTTTAGACTGAGACAAAGCAGATAGACTGAAGCAGGCATAATCAAACAATGAAGAATAGTAGACACAGTTGTGAAGGTAGTGATTTGAGGTGAAGTTGGTGATGGTGAGTTGATTGATGTCAAAGGCCAAGCAGTGAAGGTAGTTGAGGATTGAATGGTGAGCTGGATTGAGATGATTGTTTGAGTGTGTTGGGAGACTGCTGATGCTGAGGGGGAAAGAGTGGGAGTTGATGGTTGATGAGAGCTATATGTATACATGGTAGATGAGGTGTCAACATGTGGTTGTGGGTCCAACTTGTGGTTGTCAGTTTTGGAGTGGGCAGGGTGCAGAGTGAGGAAACAAAAAGAGACAAGGAAAAAGAAGGAAAAAGATAGAAGAGGAAAAGGAATCACAAGAGCAGAGGCAGAGACAGAATACCAACACCACTCCTCATGAGTTGAGCTCAACTTGGGGTGTTAATGGGCTGGACCAACCTGAGACCTGATAGGTCATGGGTAGAGATGGGCACGGCGCATCCGGATATCCGTTTGGATTCGGATATCCGCTCACCATTTCAGCGGAATTGGACATCCACATCCTCTGGCGGGTATCTGTGCGGATATCCGCCCCCTTTTAAGGGTGGACTAGAGATGGGCCCGGCGCATCCGGATACCCGTTCGGATTCGGATATCCCCTCACGTTTTCAGCCAAATCAGACATCCGCATCCGCATCCGCATCCCCTGGCGGATACCCGCTGGCCCTGGCGGGTATCCGTGCGGATACCCGCGGATATCCGCCCCAAAAATGACCCCCAGGCTGCAAAATGAAAGTTTCTTGGGGAGATTTCAGATGCAGAAAGCTGCATAAACACTGATTTTGAATTTCTTGCGGCCTTCAAGCCTTCAATTTATTATTATTTTTTAATTTTTTTTTCCTTTGCTGCTTGCAGCCTGTGACCCTCCAAAAAATATGGAAAATGGAAAAAATTATATTTCTTTTTGCTTTTGAATTTTTTTTGTTGAGCAGTTGGCAAAGTGGTTTTAAGTTTTTGTTTTTTATTTATTTATTTTTATTATTTTTATTTTTTTCCTTTTGTTGCTCACAGCCTGTGACCCTCCCAAAAGTATGGAAAAAATCTAATTCCTTTTTCCTTTGCAATTTTTTTTGTTTCTTGCAGCTAACTCATGTAAATTTTTACAGGATTAAATTTCATTCTTTTTTGAAAATGGATGGTTATATCAACTTTGCATACAAATAAAACTGGTATACGGTACAAATTATCATAATTTGTATAATTGAATTATGCAATAAATGGGGTACACTCATATATTAAGATTGAAGCTTTCATTTCTTGTCAAAATAAATGATACCATAAGCTTTGACACTACTCAAAGTGTAGTAAATAAATTCAAAATTTCAAAAAATGATGGAAATTAAGCTGTCAAAATTAATTAAAATAAATTAAGGGAAAAAATTTACAATGTCAAAAAATAATGAAAATTAATTATTAATCTGTCAAAAATTAATTGAAAAAATGTGTCTAAGTGCATTATTCAAAAAGAACCATTAATTTTTATGTAAAATGCTTTTTACCATTAAATTCTACACACTTTAAAACATAAGAAATAAATTTAAAATTTCAAAAAATAATAAAAAACAAGCAGTAAAAAATTAATTAAAAAATGTGTCTGCTGCGCAGTGCGCGCAGCAAAACCCATGTTTTTTTGTTAAGGCTTCATTTTTTCTTTTATTTTTCCTTTTGTTCACACAGCCTGTGGCCCTCCCAAGGCCTCCTGTATGGGCGGATATCCCTTGGGATACGCGGATATCCGCCAGGATTCCAGGGGGAAGGGGGCATCCGCACCCGCTGGCGGGTATCCGTTGGCACTGGCGGGTATCCGCCAGCGGATAACGGATATCTGCAACGGATTATCCGCGACCATCTCTAGGGTGGACAGATGTTTTTTTTTTTTAAAAAAAAAATAAAAAAAATTGGCTGGTTTTGAAACCAGCTTGTCGGGAGGAATCCCTCCCGGCAAGCTGGATTGTGTACCAGCTCGCCAGGAGGGATTCCTCCCAATGAGCTGGTATGAATACCCTCTTGTTGGGAGGAATCCCTCCCGACAAGAGGGTATGTACACCAGCTCGTCAGAAGGAATCCCTTCTGACGAGCTTCAGAAGTCTTCCAGAGTAAGCAGAATGGCTCAGTCACCGTCCCAGATCCTTACAGTTGGCTACATGAGCCACCCAAGCAGAGCAATGCCCTCAAGCGGGCCACTGACCCCAAACAGCCCGCAGGCAAGCTCTTCCTCGATCCCAACCTGTTCTCCATCAATGGCACTACCGCACTCTCATTCTCTGCCACATCCGAGTCAGGCATCTATATGGCGTACGGTGTCTCCCGCTCTGGAAGCAACAGTCAGACTATCTACGTCCGTCGCACCGACTCTCCCCACACAAAGTCTGCCGCCGATGGTGGCAAGAGGGGCAAGGACACAGTCGTTGCCGGGAGGTGTACATACCCACCAGCTTGCAGGGAGGTGTACATACCCACCAGCTCATTGGGAGGAATCCCTCCTGGCAAGCTGGTGTATATACCAGCTTGTTGGAAGGGATTCCTTCCGACGAGCTGGTGTGTACATACCAGTTTGTCGGAAGGGATTCCTTCTGACGAGCTGGTGTACATACCCTCTCGTCGGGAGGGATTCCTCCCGACAAGAGGGTATTCATCCCAGCTTGTTGGGAGGAATCCCTCCCGGTAAGCTGGTACACAATCCAGCTCGCCGGGAGGGATCCCCCCCGGCAAGCTGGTATGTACACCAGCTCGTCAGGAGGAACACCTCCCGGCAAGCTGGTATGTACACCAGCTTGTCAGGAGGAACCCCTCCCGGCGAGCTGGATTGTGTTCCAGCTTGCCGGGAGGGATTCCTCCCGGCGGTGTGGCCTCTCTTGGCACCGGGTATCCCTTGGGATACCCGGATATCTGCCAGGTTTGGGTAGAAAAACAGCCATCCAAAGCCAAATCCGCACCCGCTGGCGGATACCCGCTGGTGCTGGCGGGTATCCACCAGCGGATAGCGGATATCTGCAACGGATTATCCCCGCCCATCTCTAGTCATGGGTTGGGTTTGGGCAGATTTTGAGATCAAATTGCATGACCCAAACTTAGCAGGTTGGGGAAAGTTGTTTTGATAATTGGGAAAGTAATTTTTGATCATTATTACTCTGCATATGCTGTAAAACTTGGGCTGGCCCAAAGCTGGGGTGCATATTGCTGAACCAAACCCAAAAAGCTCTGAGACAGGTTTGTGTTTGGGCAGCATATTTATAAGTCTGACCTGACAAAAACTTTTTTTGGGTTGGGTTTGAGCACAGTTTTTGGACCCAAACCCAATTGGTTCACATCCTGAAGCTCAACTGCAAATCTATCAACTGTTTTTTTTAACTTCAGTCAGAAGGTGAGCATTGTGCATGTAAAAATAGCTGAAGGTTGTACCCCTTGTCACAATTGTCAGAAACTTCTGTAACTCAAGAGGAAATTGAGCCTACATAATATTCTTGGGTCACAGAAAAGTTATGCAAGGTGATGAACCCCTTGGAGCAGAAAGAAGAGGAAATAGTGAAATAGGCTTTCTGTTGACTCCCCCCAATTAAAAAATCCAATCAGGCAAAAACCTCCACCCCAAAAGTTTCAGAATCCCCAAAAGGCAAGCACATGAATACTTGTAAAAAAGCAGCTGTTAAACAATATCAATCCAGCCAGGAATCAGAGTGTTTATAGCAAACACAGCAAACACTAGGGTGTATCATCAGGCCACAGAGGGAACCACCTGAAATGAGCTAGCACTTGCACCTCAATTTACCAATGCAAATGTTGATGGAACTTACACACACAATTGTACTGATGTTGTGAACCCCTGATTGATAAATCCATCCTTTCATGTACCCAGATTGGATCAGGGTTGATGAGAGGACAAAAAATAAACTGGAATCAATTTCTTTTGGATATAAATGGAAAACTCCTGAGACACTTATTGAAATCCAATGGATTCTCAGTGCAGACATACCAAACACCACTGAGCTTGATATCAAGTTATGATTTACAATGCAGAATATTTATAGCCTTGAATGATGGTATTCAAAGTTGAAATGAATGAAATCATAGATTGCATAAGATTATCTACATATAACTAAAGGAATAGCCTCAGAGGGCCAAACAAACCGTCAGGCTTTCTAACCTCGGCGTCGACCCTCAATTCAGCTTTGTATTGAATTCTCATGCGGCTTCTAACGCCGGCGTCGATGTTGGAGAGTGAACTGGCCATTCACCCAGCAAGTGAAGGGCTGATCGTCACACAGGCGGCCAGGCCATCGCTTTGAGATCGCTTTAATTGATTGCTTTGATCCAATCTGAATTCATTCCAACCTCGATGAGCCTCACCAAATTTGATGAACCTCCGGTTTGCTGAGCTATCATCAAGCATGCTCTTGGCCTACAACCAATCACAACTCAGTCTCCCTGATTCAGATTACTGTCAATTCCTACTCAAAAAGGGACTTTTTTCTGAAAATCATCCTTTTTGTTTAAATAAGCCAATAACATCAAATAACATCAAAACATTCTTAATCAAGCCAATAACATCAAATAACATCATCATCATGAATCAATTCAAATGATATTGAAAATAATTGTAGCAAACAATAGTAAAAGCATCAGAAAACTTTGAAGAAACTGAAAGAGGTGGTAAAATCTGGAAAACTTTGAAGAAACTGAAAGAGGTGGTAAAATCTGCAAGTAAGACTGACTGAACTCATTCAAATTTGAAGTACCATGCAATGTAAAATCTGCATATTCCCTTTCACATTGAAATTTTCCTCAGCTTGCTTTTAGCTTATAGTCCAAGGGGATCAAAAACTGCCATATAAAGTAAAACATTTTTTTCAGTTCTGAAATTGAAGAAAGTTTTGCTAATGTATCAAATGCTGATTGAATGACAGTAAAATTTCAAATTACCATCTGTATAACATATTTTCCAATCTACATGAGCCTCAGATAGCCAAACAGAGTGTCAGAATCTCCAACCTTGGCATCAATCCTCAATCCAGATTTCTGATTTGTATGACATTCTCATGAAGCTTTTGAGTTTGATTTCTTCATCAAAGACTGAATTCCAACTCCTCATTGTAAATTGTTTGGATTTAAATCTGGATGCAATTTTTGCTTCCATCATGCCACATTTACATTTGTCATTAATAAATCTGCTGTGACCAAAGAAGCATAGACAAAATTTTATTTTGAGATAGGATTAAAATCTACATTTGAATTCATTCCTGAAAATAGCATGGATCGTTTCAAAAGAATTGCTCCCCCTTAATTTATATTCTAACCCTGTATATCTTCTCTGATTCAAGGACAAAACATGGCAAGTGTGACCTGATGCAAAATAATTGTTTACAACACCTGTTCAGTTTTTCAAAAATTCCAGTAATACCTTGGTCAAAATTGGGAAGTATAGAAAATTCTAATCAAGGTAATTGTTTCAATTGAATACTTGAGTTTTTTTAATTCAGAATCAATGCTTAAACTTGGTTTCTTCCTCAGAGATCACTCAAAATTTGATTCAAGAAAATCCAATGCTGACAATGTGCACATTTCACAGTAACTTTGCATAAATTGTTACTTTATTTTTTGTTGTAGTTATAAGACAAGCTACATTGGGAGTAACCCACATTTTGGCTTCTTCCAGTTTGTTATATTTTTTCTTGAAGTTTGGCATATTTTTTCTTGAAGGTAAATTTTTCAGGCCCCATTTGGACAGCCCGTTATATGTCATAAATCATTGAATTTATAATGTGTGACCCCCGGTGCGGGGCAATTTATGATGTATAACAGGATGTCCAAATGGGGCTCAATTATTGAGAACTGGAATTTTGGAATACCCTCCTTATGATTTCACTTAGTTGAAAATACAGATCAACTATACGGAGAAGTACACATCAATACAATAGAGCTATACAAAAAAACCTAACAAAGAGCTAATGATAGTATTGCAAATGCTTACATACACAGCTTCATTCATACATTGGATGGAGGACTGAGATCTAGGAGGAAATGCCACTTTCCACTGACCAGGGGCAGAATTAATATTCTGATTGTTTGGCCTATTTTATTACTATGAATGTATCTTACATTAGAGGGGTTCACAATTGAACTTCAAGTGATTTTTATGGTGTTTTTGAGCAACATTTTATGAATTTCTTTGAGTTTTTCCAATTTATTAATTTCTGAACCTTCTGTACATCACAAAAAAATTGTACATTCATGATCAGAAACACCTTAAAAATGGCCTTAAAGTTCAATCTTGAACCCCCCTATTGGAATTGGAATTTCTTTTTGCAATGTTAATGTTTATACAAGGTTCTTCAATATCTTCAAAGGCCTTGATCATGAAAGAATCCAATACTGTTTCAAATTATGTTTCACATATTACACTGATCTTTTTGAGGCCATCTTTATCATCATTCTGCTAATTGATGTGCCTTTTATCACCAGGAAATCTCTCAAGTATCCTAATTAATCCAATCCTGTTCTCCCTTTCATTTAAAACCCCCCTCTGACCCCAAAAATGGGGGCTATGCCCTCGTACTGCATATTTTTTTTGGTAGGAGTTTTGATCATAAAACGGGAAACTCTCACCAAAAAAAAATCTTATTCAATCTATGATTTCATGCGTTTCAACTTTGAATACCATAAATGATGTATGATAAGTTGTGAGAGGGGATTGGAAAGAGAAATTCAATAAGGATGAGTGAAAGCACTTTCTATAAATTACCATGGTGACTTCTTTGCTTCAGATGTGGCTCAATCATTTCATTAGATTGGTTTGGCTTGCTTCAGTCTGATATTCTGATGGCTGTGACACAGTCAAGGACTTTCTACAAACTTTCACATATGTGACAACTTTCTCCCCTTGTGACAAGAACCAGAAGAGAAAACAAAAAACCCAAAATGAATAATAGAACAGCAATCCCAATCAAATGAGACAAAATGAATAACAAGAATATATACCTAATAAAAAAATGATAATTTTGTAGAAGAGAGAAAATGAGAGCAAAAAAACTAAACCAAAAAAAAAGATTGTTCAATTCTTGAATGATGTTCCCAACATGCCCATGAATTGGCTTCCCACAAGGTTTTGTGAAGATATTGGTGACAGTCGGTTTTGTAGACTATAGGGGTATTCAAAGGAGAGCTGAATTGATGCATAAATCCTCAAATTATGACTAAACTGAGTGAAGGTTGAATTTGCCTGAAAGCCTGAAATTAAGGCTTCCAGGCAAAATCAACCTTCAGTCAGTTTAGTCAGGAAAAACAAATGTCACATTCTAAATTTTAAGATTTATGAAAATATCCAGCTCAACTTAAATGAACACTTCTTATGCCTAGTTGAATGGTCCATCACCACCCTCCTTGTGAGTGTCAACACCACCCATACCACCATGTGAGAGATTTGTATTCACCATCCTTATGATTACATCACAGGTCCACTGTACATTGGGAGGTTGGCTCAATGAAGTGCTAAATGACTATAGGAATAGGTCATTCAGCTGAGTATGTGATGAGTTTTACCTTCAAATAATTGAAAGATTTTTAGATTGAAAACATGTTACATACGTTGAAAGTGTTACATGGAAGGAATGTCAAAAGGCTAAACTGTTGCATTGTAAATATTTTAGGATTGACATATTTTGAAAGATTTTGACAGTGAAATAGGGGGTCAAGTAAGTATGAGAAAGGATATTTTATTGACTTGAGACTGTTATGTATGTAAGGTCTCCTAATCCAATTCATGTAGACCAGATTTGGCCCTTCACAATCAATGAAAAAAAAGAAATTCTGCTTCCTTCAGAAACAAGAATAGATACCTTCTCAAGCCTCACCAAGATAATCATAGAATGTTTTTCAGTTGCATTGGAGCCTGTCTTTCCTTCTCTTATCTAGGAGTAATCCTTGCTTGTGATAGCTCAGATGAACTCGGGGTGGAATGGGATCAGCTTGAGAGGAATTTGTTTGGTTGGACGGATGGTCAACCTCATCATCAAGATGATCTTCTTCTTCCCCCTTCCTGGGAACCAACCCCCCAAAACTGGGATCATGCCAATTTGGCCACAGAATTTTGCCCTACAACCTCCTCAAATTTGAATAATTTACTGCCAATGCCATCCTCCAAAGATCACATGAATTCTCTTGACTTGATCAGAGGAACCTCAGGTTTAGGAGCTTTCACCAACCCAGTTTGGCCCATACAAACCATTGAAAGTGAATGGGGACCACATCCCACTGTTCTCGAAACACATGGTGATGGTGATCATACTGGAAACAATCCCCAAACCAATCCAAACACCTGTCTTTTTTCCATCTCACCATCTTGTATGCAAGATCAAATCCGTCAAGTTTCACCAGTGCAGATAGACAATACAAGGCCTATGTCTTTCCATCCAACATCACATGAAATCATCCAGGGTGATCCATTCCAGATGGAAATGTCAATGGATTCAAGCTCAAATATTCAACATCCCAAAAGTCATGATGTCTTGTCTCAAATGCTCCATTCAAATCAGCGCTGCAATCTCTCATTGGATCACTTGATAGATTCTGGATCTTATTCTGAGGCGCAGAAAAACAAAAGAATCAAGCCTACAGATCCTTCAATTCACTTACCACCTATTCAAACAGAACAGGATCATGATCATATGTCAACCCCTCCTGGAATCTCTCACTTCTCTGGAAAGAGGCCCAGTTATGATATGGTCAATCATCAGCTTGGAATTGGAAGCAGTGGATTTGCAGAGTCCGAAAGGAGTATGGAATCAATGAAACATCAAAGTTTTGTGCAAACAAATTCAATCCACAACAGTCAACAGATGGGAGATATTGCTTTCAACAAAACTGACCCACCACCACCACCACAGCCCAGAAAAAGTATCAATGAAATACTCAAGTTTGATACCGAAGTCTTTGAACACAATGGCCACCAATCAGTAGCAGACAAGTCTCATGCAGAGGCACTGAGGATGCTTATCAGAGACATGCAACCTGGAATGGATCGCCTTTGCTTTTCAGCAGACAACCCGAGAGAAGTACATGGGATCTTCAAGAGTTTCAGCATCAAGGCAACCAGGATCCGGATGGATCAAAAACACCACAACAGATCAACACCTGCATTCCAAATCAACAGTGTAGGACACTCCGAAGCAAATCGTAAGAGGAAGTCGGGCGTGGCTCTTGAAGAAGAGAGGAGGCTGTTAAAGGTATACGCTAGAAATAGAAGAAAGTCTCTGGAAGAGCGGGCGGTTGATAAGCTGTTTGAACATCGGTTTCTGTGGTACAGGTTTTGGGAAAACAGGACAGGAATCAAAGTCGTAGAGCAAAACCTTAGGCTGCAAAAGAGGGTGATTCTATTCCTATTTTACACTGACATGATCGGCACTATCCTTCGAAAATATATGGACAATGATTCTATGAAGACTGCGAAATTTACTGCGAGATTCCTGCTTCAAAACGCACTAGACATAGTCTCAGAACATTATCGCGTGTCGTTCCAGGATCCAGCGCAACGAGCGGTCTCAGAGCTCCCAAAAGAAGGCAAGAGTGTTGCAGCTCCTGCTCCTCTGCAAGCCCCGAAGAACCCAAAACTGCACCGACAGGAATTGGTTTGGAGCTGGATGCGGAGGTTGATTGATCAGTTGAACAATGACAGCTTGCGAGCCATCTTCTTGCACAACCATGGTTGGACCATTTCTCCGGAAAGTCAGGTGTTTTTCAATCATGTTTTCTATCATTCCATCGAGAAATTGAACAGCAGATTATCGATCTATTATCAACAACTTCATGATCTTTGATAGTAAACCTAGTCATCGTTGATCCGCGCCTCTCCAAATTCTTTATTTCCCTCTATCCGCGTTTGTCAATTCCAATGTTCACATTGTCCATCATGACCGCTTCCAAGCATATTACTCCGCGCTGGCCACAAGTAACTGTTGATCATTAGGGTCTTTGAGCATCAGTGACTATGGTGCAAGATGTGCCGCGCATCGCCACTGTCTAAAAAAGCAATTAAAGTTCTTTTTTGAGTAAAAATTAAACTCAAGACTACTACATTTATTCCAACCGAAAAAAAAATGGAGAGGTGGAGAGGGAAGAAACCAAGCGAGTAAGCTTGATTACGATGAAGATTTTTGAATTTTAAGTTTGACCTTATCGACGATATCGTAATAAGCCTTTGTGGCGAGACTATCAGGATGGGAGTTCAACCAATCCACGCCAAGATCTGATCCCTTGCCGATCTTAGGATCGAGGGGGATCTTACCGAGCAGTTCGAGGCCTTCGTCCCTACAGAGTCTATCGGCGCCGCCGGTCGTAGGCAGGAAGATCTCCGAGGCGCCGTTACAGTTGGGACAGATGAAGCCGGACATGTTCTCGACCAGGCCGAGGATCTTGACCTGGGTCTTCTTGCAGAATGAAATGATCCGACGCACGTCCTGGATCGATACTTCCTGCGGCGTCGTCAGGATGATCGCCCCGGTGATCCCGGTCTGTTTGAGATAACTGACAATCGAGAGATGCTCGTCCGTCGTTCCCGGCGGAGTATCAATAATCATATACTCGATCCCTTCCTCTCTGTTCTCTTTCCCATTCTCCTTCGCCGTCTCTTCTCTCCCTAACTCCTCTTCCTCATCTTCCGTCGAACACCAATCCACATCCTTGAGGAACTGTTTGATCATCCCGTTCTTTTTCGGACCGCGCCAAATGACTGCCGAGTCGGTGCTGGGTAGCATGAATCCCTTCAAAAATAGAATGGTACATCTATTTCAGTTGAAGAACATCACTGAGACAGACAGAGCATAAACACTGACGATCGACATGGCGCTGAGCGTTTCAGAAACATAGAGTGGTGACCATCCAGTAGAGGTAGAGTGTAGCCGATGAACATCGGGCGAAAGACCTAACATCATCGGCAATGAAGGGCCGGTAATATCGATATCTAGCAACGCAGTCTTTCGAAAAAAAAAAGAAAAATATGGAAAGATTAGGTGAACCAGATGGGGTGGTAGAAAGGGGTGAAGGAAGATGAGGAAGTACATTATCGCCATCACCACTGAAAGCCCAGCCAAGCCCACAGGTGAATGTGCTCTTGCCGACGCCACCTTTACCGGAAAGGACCAGGATCTTGTGCTTGACATTCCGGAAGCGTTCGTTGATCTTCTTGAGGTCGTTCAAGTCGTCCTGTTTCTGCTGAGATGAGTTCACATTCGTGGAGAAAGATTTACAGATCGATTGGTTCTCACATCCGTTACAAGTCGTCGAACTTCCTGCTAATTCGGATTCGATACCTGTTTTACCCAGTGATTGGAGTTAGTTCAAATATGCGCTGATTTAAGAGTTAACATTTTTTTTTTTACCTGGACAGTGTTCGGGAGCATTTTCAGGTACGGTAGGTGTCGTAGTATCTGAAGCTGAGATGGCTTTCTTCTGTAATGGGGATGATGGTCCGATTGATGAGGATGAGGATGGATCGGGTGCTGAGTGGTTGTTCTTCGTCAGATGGTTTTCGATGGCCATTGATGAGACAAGTTGGGTTGGTTGTTGGTTGTTTGAGGATTTTGTTGAAGCTCTTATAAAGTTATTCACGATCCGACTCCGTCGAGAGCAGGATCCACTATCCGGGCCGACTCGACGGTGCTGCGGATCACCTGGGAGCCTGAAGAAGACTCAAGCCGGAAGGAGCTGCTGGGCATGTTGGACTTGAACAGTTGGCAAAGAGCACTCCAACGATGGCTCTTGCTCGATCCCACCCAGTAAGTGTACCCCTTCCTACCAAACATAATCATAAAACCCACGCACATCAAAAGCAGAAGCACTGACTGAGATCAGGGACTCATTTACAGGTCAAATTGAGCGGAGACGTTAACCGAATCCTGTTCGTCAAGAACCTCAACTACAAAACTAAAGGAGAGGTATTATTAACAACTATCTACTTCTTTAAGATCTCTTCTCAAGTCCAAGCTCATTGCATACAAACGAATAATTAAACTGAAAGCTCGTTTTCTAAACTTTCTACTACATTGAAACCACAATCAAAACAAAAAACAAACAGGACTTGTACGATTTATTTGGAAAGTATGGGGCCATTCGTCAGATCAGGATAGGAACCGATCCCAAGACTCGAGGCACGGCGTTTGTGGTGTACGAAGATATCCTCGATGTCCGTCGCACTTTTTATATGACCCCTTTCAGAAGAAAAAAACACATCTTGATGAACTTGTGTTTTTCTGTTCTTCATCATCATGTTTTCTCGTTTAGGCCAAGAATGCATTCGACCATCTGAACGGATTCCATCTGCAAGAGAGATATCTCGTCGGTCAGTCCCCGATCCCCCCAACAAAACACTTCCGACGCTTTCCCAGGACATGTATTTCATGAGCACAAAAAAAGACACTCCGTGTGAAGCAGCTGCTCACCACTTTGTTTTTGTTTTTTTTGGGGGGCGGCTTTTTATATAGTCTTATATCATCAATTCCAGAGACAAGCTGCCAAGGCAGATCTCGCAAAACGAGAAGCCGAGCTGATCGCGCTCAAGAAAACCCACAACATCTCCGACGAGACCGAATGAGTCTCTCCACCATATCCCTTCATCCAACCTCTCTCGCCACATCTTCCACAAATAACCACGATCCGACCAAGACAATTTCACCACTTCAGAGCCGCGCGGGAGAGAGAGAATGTTAACAAAAAAAGAAGTAGAGTCATTGGGGTCGACTTGATCCAACCGACTCCGTGTGGAACATTTCGACCAAGAAACATTGTATTAATATCTCAATTCCAAAAAAAAAAAAAAAGGAAAAGCTCTACACATTTGACTCTAATGAGCGATCACAATTAAGCAAGCTACTGTCAACAAGAGGTCACCATCACAAGGCCAGACTCTCTTAATCTCCGTCCGGGGAGCTGCACTGTTTCTCATCCTATGTACCCTCGTCGGAGAGACAGAGAGAGCCTCTGTATGATCAACTACTTGCTACAACTTGTTTGGGGCTTATGTCAAATGATTCACAATTATGCTGGACTAAATCAAACGCAGAATTCTCAAGAAAGATTAGATTCTTAGAATCCCATCTAAGAATCCAATTTTATTTTTATTTTTCGAGAGCATGACATTTTTGCATAAACGATTGCTTAGAGGTTGAAGAAGACTTCCAAGCGAAATCCAAAGGAAACCTAGAGAACATCCAACCGTCGGGTCGACATAGACCTTCCCAGTCATCCCCAGCACAAATAACTGGACCAAGGCCATGTCAAAACGAGCGGAATCCAGATTCTCCATGTGTGTGAGTGTGTTTATGAATGAGAACACATTAGAACTTATAAATAGGAAGACAGGAGAACAAAGTTGATTATAGGTTTTGAGTTACAATACCATTGATTGAAGAACATGATAAAAAAAAGGTAATGAAAATCAAATGAATAGAGTGAGTATGGAAAGAGATTGAAAGAAAGAAGATAAGGTGAGAATAAGGAAACGGTATTAATCGGAGCGTCTTCAAGATTTTGTCCTTGCATGTAAATGATAAACGGCCTCGCGAACAGCGAAGAAAGTGAAGCCCATGGAGCCATCGATGATGAGCTGACCTTTAGCGGATTTCCTGACGGAGACGGAACCGCCGACGAGTTCCTTAAGCGGGAGCGAATGATGATCGGGGAGGACGAGAGGGTTGGGGGCGGTGTTGGTGATGAACTTGGACTTGGAGTTGAGCTCGCCGAGACATTTCGAGAGCGGCACGGGGCCACAGACGAGCACGCCTTCAGCAACGAACTCGGCCGGGATGTCGTTCGAGATCAGATACGCTTTCAAGCCCGCAAGTCGTAAGTCACCAATGAAGATCGCCGACCCTGAGGCAATCGACGCTAAGGGCTCAAGCCTTCTGGCCTCCTTCGACCCTGAAGATTCCTCCTCCTTACCCCCCACCGGCTTAATCACCGACAGTCGGCGCATCTTTCGCGGTGGCTCTCGTCCCACAATGGTTCTTTCTAATGTTGGGATCGACGACTCGTTAGAGATTTCCAAGTTTCCACTGATATATGCCACATCAAATCCTTCAACCTGTTCAAGAAATTCAGTCAGGTTCCATCCAATTCCACACTTTTTGCTTAAGAAAATGCAAAAATCCTTACCTCAGAAAATCGTAAAGAGTTCATGATGCTATCTCCCAATCTGACGCTAAAGCTCTTCGTGTCATGGCCAACGGCGGCTTGTTCGCCCACTTTAGGTGAAAATACTTGCTTAGTGAACGCCGGTAAACCAGCGACGGAGTGCGCAAAATCGGCATTAGAAACGGTGCTCCCGTTAATCAAAACCTGTTGTTTGTTATCAATGAGCGAGCCGTCTGACACTAGATGTAATGAACTAAAAAAAAAGGGTGAGTTGAAGTCTTACAACTGTCTTGGGATTGATTTGTGGAATGATCGTCTTCAAAGCTCGTCCATCGGCTTTGCCATCCAAATCGATCGTTAAAACGCTACATTTCACCTGAATTGTTTCTGTATTTGCTACAAACTTCGATGGTGGATCGACCGGTAGCTGGTTTCCAAAGATTCCAAAAAAAAAAAAGAAACGTGTAGGACAGGCATCAACATCACGCGATGAGCAACGAGGTATAAGATTTGTAGGTCTTACCATGCTAAGAAGGTCTTCCTTTGGGGCCTTTCGACCGCCACTCTCGACGCGTTGGATTGTTTCGTCAACCGCGTCGCCTCTTTTTAACCACCCATCGACATCGATCACCTCCCCATAACCATCGACCTTGCGCCGACGTTCGACAACCGGGAACATGCGAAAGGTCTGTGTTCTGCCGCCGGAGAAGCGGGTGGCCGAGCCCCCCTTGACATAGATGTCGAACGCCATCGGCTCCTTCTCGTCCACAAATTCATCCCAGCTCGGCCCCGCTCCAGTCAACGTCCTCGCCACCGCAATCGCATCTGTCTCTGACTCCGAATCCGAGCCCGACTCGTCTGATTCTTCATCCTCCATCAGCTGTCGGGATCGGGCAAGCATCGCTGCTGCCTTGGCCTTCCTCTCCTGCGCTCGACGTTCTTCTTCCAAATATTCCTCCAACTCTTCCCCTTCAAGTATCACTTTCCTTCGTAGCTCCACATCGATCTTGGCATCTAGTTGGACCACCAGCGGTAATTCTGCTTCAGAACTTAGCGAAGGATCTTCTCGCTTTTGTTTTGTAGCATCAGCCGCGAGAGAGCCCAGATGATCGAGTAAGCGCTCCGGCTCAGTGTCTGAATTTGTAACTTGTGGTGATGACAGGGATGTCAAGATGATCAGGTTGCCTTCAACACCAGCTATTCGGGTAAACATAGCCCTCGAAAATCCGTACTCCATTGACAGGGGAACGGCAAGAATCACTTTAGGTTGACGGATGGGCAGTTCAGCTTCAAGTGCTTCGACCGAATTAAAAAACCGGATGTGTCGAAGCCGAAGTGGCCCTTGATCGTTTTGGTCTCGGTTACCACGCTTATGGTGATTTTGATCGAAGGATGAACGAGCGAGTGCTGGTGACATCCATTCGGTAAGCGAACGGATAAACGTGACCACGTCCTTTCCGGTTTGCGAGACAAGGCACAAGGGGAACGAGTCGAGACGTGATTGGGTCCAATGGCTGTCGAGCAATAAGAGCAACTCGATCAATCTGGCCGAAGGATCCGTCGGGATCAGGACCGTACGTGAGGCCCGCAAGGTTTGAGTGATCGAATCTGATCGGGGTTGGAATAACCGGGACAGTTTGGTAAAATAGTTGTAAGAATAAAAGACGGAGTTTCAGTAAGGTTTGGATGATAGAACAAAAATGTTGTTTGTTTAAACTGGAATACAGTCAATTTGCGAAAGTTATGAAAAATGGAACAAGAAGTAAATAAACATGAGATGAGCGAGAGAGAGGGGATGACAGGACGGATAACAAAACTGACCGAGTAAGATCCGGTCTCTATCTTTCTTTCTGATGCCCTTTATCAGACTTCTTTCGGTTCCAACGACCATGACCATCGGCCTGCTCATGCCGAGACCGATTCTCATACTGCCATCACCAGTGGCTTGGACTAAGGCAGCACTGTCGAGATGTGACTCCCTAACATGATTAAAGATCGGCGCATAGATCAGGGTCGACGATGAAGCCGAGCTAACGGTGTGAAGTGGTGAACGCAGGGACCAGATCGTCCCGCCGATCGTATGGCCGGACTTGTGAGCAGTCAACGTCAATGGACGTAATTTGCCTACCAAAACCAAATATAAAATAAATTAGTCTGGAGTCTAGATAGGCCTATGCTAAATTTAAAATAAAAAAACTGACGCCCTAAATGAATAGGTTGAGAGTAACGGACTGCTATGACACTATCAAATGCATCCCTAAGTTCCTTGAAAGAAACTTTCCAGATGTGATCTGAATTGTTTGAATTTGAATGGCTGGGCGGGACAGATTTTGAGAGGTTTTCGGGCTCTACTATTACAGGGATATTCTGGGCGGGTTGATCAGAGGAGAGTTGGAGGGAGAGATTTTCGGCGGACTGGGTAGAATTTTCGATCCCATTAGATTCCTCCAGGGCGCGTTGACCGATCCATTCCTCGGCGGCCCATCGGCCCATTTCCTTAGTGGGCAGGGTGGCATAGATCGGGCATCTGAGGCCGAGTCTGGCGCGGAGGAGGGGGACGAGGCCGAGTGAGCTGAGGAGGGGATGAGAGAGGAGGACGAGGTCGAGTGAGGGTGTGAGCTCGGCTAGCTTGTTGAGGTATCCGTCGATCTCCCCGGGCGTTGGTCGGTCGGGACATCCGCAATCCAGTAGTATTCGTCCTTCGTCGATCTCTAGTAGGTATGAGAGGATGCCGGTTGAGTCGTGGGCACCAATCAGGGGGGTGAGCTTGATGGCCATCGATGTCTGTTCTGTGTTTCTTGGTGGTGGGCAGGTTGGCTTCAGCTAAATTCTAATCACTGCCCCTGCTGGCTGTCCACCCCCTTGGTTGGGTCCGGGGTAGGGTTGACGGCGCCACTTTTGGAAAAGTGCGCGCCGGAGGGCGCCTCCAAAACTGCCAGCGATGCGCGCCTTTGGCAGGCACATTGGAGGCGCGCCAGGGGCGCCATTTTCCGCAGTAAAAAACATGTACATATCGCCTATTTTCCATGTTTTTTAATTTTTTAATTATATTTTTTTTTCAACCTAAATTTTTTACCACAGCAAAGTCTGACTTTGCTTTATCGGGTAGCCACAATTGGTGGGTGCCATGCGGCACTTCACACTATTCGGGGGTCGAACCGGGTTCTCGGGGGCCAAAAAGTAAGTTCAACCACCAAGAAACCCAAAAAATACAGCTTTTATGGGTAGTTGATGGATGACTCCCCCCGAAAAAGTTAGGGTTAGAAGTGCGCGCCACCCCCCCTTTTTCCAGATTTCATGCGCGCCGAGGGCGCGCGTGCGCGGCGCCCGCACATCGGCGCGCCTCAGGTAGCGCGCCGTCAACCCTAGTCCGGGGCACCCCCGACACTGACTCCGGGGGAACACCACTGCTCAACATACGAAAACTGCATTAAATATTTGGATGCCTCCCCCAAAAAAGCTCACCTCTAGTATTTAACCCTCTTTCCAAAGCTAATAAACCTGGATTCACATCAGCCCAATGGTTGAATACTGCAGGGAATTAGTCCTTGGTTGGCTCTTCTATATCTTGATGTATGGATATTGGGGATAAGAGCCAATCTGATTGATGTCTGAATTTACTTTCTCTGGTCAGGCCAGGAATCTGTGTTGGCTCATCAAGCTAACAAAAATCCGACTCTAGCTCATATATAGCTGGTTTTTTTGTTCTTTATCATAACACAATCTAAGTTCATAACTCCTCAATATGATTTTTTTCTTCATACATTATCGAGAGGAGAAAGCTGGTATATTTACATTGTGGTTCCAGGACAGACACTGATCTGACCATATACTACCTCAAGTGGCAAGCAAATTGTCTGCTCAATTTGATAGAGGCGTGTTTGGAGTCCAGCTCAAGAGGGGTTTTCTTTTAAGCCCCCGAGGATGTTTGAATATTCAATTTGAATTCAAGATGGATTGGGCTGTCAATTTTCTGGGAGTTTTCTCCGCTGATGAGGCAGCAGGATGGCTTGACCAAGCAAGACCAAGACGACAAGACACTTCAACAATCACCACCAGCTCGACATCACAAGAGAGGCCGCACTCCTTCTTCGAGCGCGTAGGAAGCACAATCGGATCGCAACAGCACCCGTTTGGTGGAAGTCGAAGATATAAACGGAATCAAGAAGGGCTGCAAGAACCAAATATAAATACAGAGAAAGTTTGGGAAGAAAGAAGGCAGAAGCGATGAGTCACTCCAAACCATCATCTTCGACTCGCAAGCCCACCGATTTCCATCATCTGACGGCCCGGCTCAAGCTGCCCTTAGCGCCGGTCTTTCTGACGAAACCGATGTCCAAGACGACGACGATCGAAATGAAGGCGGAGGAGGAAGAGAGTGTGAAGGAGGAGATGGATGATCTAGAATCGGACTCGGATCAATCGACCAAAGACCTCAAGAAGACCCTGACGGAGCCAGACAGGATAGACGAAGAATACGGCAACAGTGGGGTGCTGGAAGCGATCAACCAGTCACTAGCCTCGCTGATGATGAAGTATATCCCCTCCTTGGGCTCGGTCTTGGTCTCCTACCTCGAGCCGCCGATGTTCATCCTGAAGGACCCGTCCGAAGGGGCAGCTGAGGAGATCCGACGGCCAGCAACCAAGACCAGTCGGCTGCCCGTGCCCACCTTGCCCGGCAACGGCTGGGGCGTGGTGGATGTGGAGGTGAAGCTTCTGGGCTGGCGGCCGACGATCGGCCAGAAACTCGTCGGCCGGCCTACACTCTCCTCCCCCTCCCATCTCTCCCTCGTCATCTATCGCACCTTCAACGCCTCCATCAACGAGAATCATCTCAGAGCTGCCGGCTTTCATTACGATATCAACTTCGAGGTCCCTGCTCATTGGAAATCAATCGTCGAACCCGCTAATCCTCAAGATCAATCTCTGTCTACCAATCTCCCCCTCGAACATCATCAAGATCGTGGATGTTGGGTCGATGCCAACGGGGCCGTCGTCGGTGACGATCAAGGCACCGTATCTTTCACAGTCATGGGGTATTTAATTCTGTTTGATTGGCTTTTTTTCTTAATCTTCGATTGACCACTAAACCATCTTTCTTTTGGTCTCAACAACAGCTTGACGATCGCCAACCACATGATTTCGGTAGTCGGCTCACTACTAGATGATCCATTTTCGATCGAGAGCCCGGCCCGCGCGAGCCAGCCAAGCCCCAGGATGACGGCGATGAAGCAACGGCTGAGCGGGCCGGGCCCGGTGGACTCGGAGTCATCGACGGACAACTCCGAGGACGAAGGGGGGCGCTCGAAGGCGGCCTCGTTGCGGGGCCGAATGAAAGCGCCGCCGGCCATCCAATCCGGCACCGCACTCCGCCCGATCGCTGTCCATCCACACACCGTCGCCATCCCCACAGTCACACCCACAGCGAGCTCAAGCCTACAGCCCCCGCCACTCACCGCTACCAACCTCAAAGCCCTCGACTCCGCTCACCTCCAGCCTTCCTTCCCCGTCTCTCATCCTTCTCCTATCTCAATCCCTAGCGAGAAATCTAAGAAAACTAAGAAGAAGAAACCCCTCAAACGTCCCGCCGATGCGCTCGAAGATAAACCAAGCCTGGCTCGAAATCCTTCTTCCCCCCTTCCCAATCAACCAACCAACCCATCTGCCGCTATTCCTCCCCCTCTATCATCTACTAATTCTTCCCGGAAGAAAAAACTGAAAACTAATTAGACCAATCTTTCGTCATCTTCCTTCTTCCATGTTTCTTTTTTTTTTTTTTTGTCTAGTTCAAATACTTTTTTTTTTTTTCAATTTTCACTTTGTTTGAATCTATTGTTCCAAACTTCCATCCACACTTTTTATTTCCTGTGAAGTAACTACAAACATGGATGTTGAGAAGGAGAGAGAGACAATATACTTCCTTGGTCATAAGCAGCCTGTGTCCCTATCGCTCGACGGAAAGTAACTCTAATAAAGGCTAACAATGTGCACTAATACTACACCCGCAGGTATGTTGTGGGGGTGACACCGACCACTGCACTAGCGATATGTAACCAAATACGTAACAAAAAAGTCTCCGCAGTCTTGACTCGTGATGAATCCAACCCAGACGACCATCTTCAGTTGAGATCCTAGACACTAACTTTCCAAGTTTCTTATATTCATATCAGAGGTCATTTCAAGCACCGTACCGCAAATCACTACGACGTTTTTTCCCACTCTTCTTAATGTCAGACTCATCAAAAGGCAAAGATCAGGTTTAACTGGAAGAGAAAGGGGAGAACGGAAGCAAGATGATAATCAAGAGCAAGAACGATAGAAAGGGAGCAAGGATTACAGACGAAATGAAAGAAAGGAAGGTTCCAGATGATTGGCCGGCTATGATCCAGACAAATGATCAGCAAAGAGTGATCAACAGACCAAGAGAGAGAGAGAGCGAGAGCGCGAGAGGATCATGTAGTAGAGAGTTCTACATGGCCATTTTCCAACTCGGGTTTATCGACCAAAGAGTCGAGAATGGCGGGGTTATCAGAGGCGCGCAGAAGGAGGTCGACGATAGGATTAGGGGCCAGATGCTGCTGCTGCTGCTGATCCAACGAGCCTTGTTGGTGCTGGTCGTCAGGCGTGGTGGGTAAGGTCTCCTCGACGCGCTCCTCGGAGCCGTCGTCCTGCGGCGACTCATCCTCTTCATCGTGACGATCACTCTCTCCTTCGATCCCTCGTGGGATCACTAGCAGGTCTTCCGGGATCAGCTCGAACTGGTCTGTCAAGCCCATGAACCGTGCATACAAGCTCGTCTCCATCTGTTTTCATCCACAAACACAAACACACACACAATCAGCATCCGACGCGTCTTCCTGCACATCCACACACACACCACAGGAAACTTCCTCCTGCTCAATCGAACACAAAATCTGTGTAGATCGGGAGAGAGGGGCGATTTACTTCACATTCCTCGAACAGTTCGCGATGGTGAAACCAAGCATGGGCCAAGATCCTATACAATCTTCTGGCGATCGACGTGAAATGCTTGTTCGAGCTCGACGGGATCTGCAAGCTGAATGACAGAAGAAAAAAGGCGATCAGCCGAGCTGACGAGAACGCGCTTTAATCTTTCAAAATCAAAGAATGCTTTGATTTATGATGTGGATCGGGTTTGCTAACCGGCTTGGGAAGTATCGGGCCGAGTTGAGGAGCGCGGTTGCCCCGTCAAGGGTATGGACTATGTAATCGATCGCACAGCATTGGTTCTTGAGACCGGACGAAGGAAGAAGAGAACAAAAACGAGGCTCAGTAGATGGCGAGGATTTTGAGGAAGAAATGGCTGTGGGAGGGGGTCGACTATTTACCTCGTTGGCGGTCGCATGAGCGGCACAGAGATAGAGCCATTCGCCGGCCTTCATTTCCGGACATTTATCGCGGTTGCAGTCTGCCTGGAGGGCGCAGACGAGCGGATAACTGAGGTCAAGCGCGATGCGACGGAGCTGTTCGTAGACCCAGACTTCGCGCGGGATCAGTGGACTGGGCGGCGAGATGATCCTGTCCACCGCATGCGGGTCGGCACGGACCAGATCGGCGATGTATTCCTGGAGCTGGAAGGGCGACTCGGGGCTGGCCAGGTGCAGGGAGCTCGACGGGCCATGATTGTTCTCCGACGAGGCAAGCGTGCTCGGATAGACATCCTCATACCGGGTCCCCTTCCTCAATCTGATCGGCGCGCGACAGTCGTTTGCTGGGTCCTGGCCATCCCCTGTTGTGTGGGTTGGTCTCTCTGAGTTGGCTGGTGGTGATTGGCTTGAGATCGAGCTGTCTGATGGTGATGAGTTTGATGCTTCTTCGGGTGGGTTGTTGGTCATCCTGTCGAAGATTCTGCTGTGGGTTGTTCTTGGTGGGCCTTCGAGTTCGCCCAGCCTTTACCCCGGGGGCACAACTCATCCACCAGCCACTCTACATACTCACTCAAACAACAATGGAAATTGGCCAATCAGCTCAAACAGAATCAAACCTCATCATCATCACAAAGAACTTCACGCCCTGAGAGCAAAGCTAATAGATATCTCGTTTCATCCAGTCACGCTGGGTAGGAATGTTGTGGAGACATCTCAAACACGCAAGGGCAACCCTACACCCCGTAGATGGTTACTGATGACTCAAGTCAGCCACGACGTGGCCCATGGACACGTAATCCAAGCCAGTTGTCTAAATGGGCACCAAGTGACAAAGCCCATTGGAACCCACTTGTCCTCCTTCCTTGTCAAACTTGTTTTTTTGGTTATTTGTGAGTCGTACTAACTTGCCATTCTAATCTATGCTCAAAATATGAAGCCAAAGTTTTGAGTGATGAAATAAGACATCATCGTCTGACCAATACACATTTATTACAGTCACGATCAAGTTTGAGAAATCATATTGCGATAGTTATCCCCATGGCTCTTAGTTTCAAGGCATTGAATTTCTGAAATACAAAACTAAAACAACACAAAAACATTTGGGCTACTGCCTACAAGAGCTGGAGACCTTTAAAGTTTCTGCATAGCCTGGACATCGGAGGATTGGATGTAGTCCTCGAACTCGGCAATCTTTTCCTGGAGGTCATCCAAAGATACCTTTTCGTCTTCAACGACCAGACTAATTTGCATTTTGCGTACTCCATACCCAACAGGGACGACTATCAGATGAGAAGAGTGATATGTAAGTTTCCAAGCCAGGAGCAGGTATATAATAGGGGACGTGTACTAACGCTTGCTCAAACCCCAGACCAAACCGTCCATCTCGACAGATCGGACAGCTTTCTCGAGCTCAGCCATGTCGGTCTCGTCATCCCAAGGCTTAACATCAAGTGTGACCAAGGACTGTTGCGAAACAACGATTAGTACGGGTTTGTCAACGAGGCATGAAAAGGCATGGACAAACCTTGGCAATGGTCTTGGGCTTGTTGGCCTTCTTGGCGGCATACTCCGCAAGACGAGTCGCTTTGAGCTTCTCGGCGGCTTCATCAACCTCTTCGTCATCAGACCCAAAGAGATCAATCTCATCATCATCATCACCTCCGGCGGCGGCAGCAGCTGCAAGTTAGGAAAATCTGTTAGAATTGACGTGAAACAATCATTTGAGACTGTGAAGTTGACCGGGACTTACGAGCCGAGGTGGACCCCTTGGCAGGACCGTAGGAGGATAATTCCTTCTTCTCGCCTGGAAGGGAGGCATGTTCACTCTCCCAGCTTTTGATGTGTGCCCACCATCGAGCAGCTTGGGGATACTTCTTCACATCAGGAGATGAAGCGATAGCTTGGAAGACTACGACATCGGCTTGAGATGGGGCGTAACTTGAAACGGAAAAATGATAAAAGATCGAAAGAAGTCAGTCACAGGTATAATTTTGGATATGGAATGATTTTGAAGTGTTAGAGAATAGGCCGAGCAGAGTCAGAGGGGTTGGTATATAATTTGTCAGCATCGTGTGCCGAGGTGTTCCGGAGAACAAGGTCGGGGTCTTAAGCCGCCCATGCCTCGGTTAACGGTGTTCAGAAACACGGACCAAACGTAAAGATCATCACGAAGAAAGCTCGACCTATTCATCATTGCGAAAGACGAACTGACCCTTCAATGTAGCTCTTGTCATACACATGTTGCTCTAGCTGAGAGTAGTCGTTGCCGGTGAAGTCGAAGCCTGGTGATAAACAGTAAGATCGTGATAGTGAGCATGATGGTGCAGAAGGGTAGAGCTTCAGTGGTCTGATGTGACTGACCCATTTTGATAAGTATCCTGCGGGAATGTGATGAGGGTGATGAGGGGATAGGAGTTGGGTGATGGGACTCCCCCACTTGCCGGGTGACGAGGCAGGTTCATATAGGCTGTTTACGCAGCGCGCAGTCGCGCATCACCGCGAGGGATGTGGGTGGGCTTGTCACTGGGCTGTGACCTAGGTCACAAAGCACACTCGGCTGCGGCTCAGCCCGGAGGACAAGATCCCTCCGGCCGGCAAGTACCTTCTCCGGCAGGCCACGAGTGGAATACCATAATCTCCCCCAATGCTCTACTCAAGTCGCGAGTCTGCTGCAACGGCCAAGCGCGCCAGGAAAGCGAACCTCGAAGTGCTGCCGGTTCTAAGAAGGCTGGGTGTAGACCTCTCTGTCTGCCCCAGGAGAGGTGGAGCTGAACACAAGCTCTCGGGTGATAGCCCGAAGCGCAGACCTGCGGTCTGTCTTGGGAGACTGAGAGATTTTGTGTGGAGCTTGGGGGGAAGTAAGTATGATTACACTGCTCAGCCTCCAGCAGACATTTGCCCATATATTGTTGAGGAAAACCCACTCGGGGTTGACTGGATTTTTCTATGGAATCCCGTTGTAGACACAGCTCCCGCAAAATATTTGCAAACCAATGATTGATTTGGCAAAAGAAATTAAGAAAACTACCTAATGGCACAACAAGAAAGATAAGGTGTTAATTGACAGTATAAGGGCAACATCAATCTCTCAGCCAGATTTAAATTAGACTCATAATTCACAGTGAAGGGTAATTGTGCATAGAGGCAACAAAAGGAACTATGTCCATTTAATTTTGGTCACTTGTTTTACACATTTTATGATTGACTTTGGATTCAAATGTAATGAAAATATTAATTTAATCTGCTTACTCAATTCTATCCCCATCATTCTCAGGAGTAATGATACGTTTTTTCATGTATTAGCTTAAAGCCTTAACCTTTAAATCATTTTGGATAATTTTTTCTTGTTTGGAAAGGTTCTTCCAGACAAGTCCATTTGGAAAGGTTCTTGCAGACAAGTCCAGTTGGAAAGGTTCTTTCAGACAAGTATGCAGTAATGATCCATGTTATTATCTATAACTTATGTGGACTTAACCTTTGAATCAGTTTGGATAATTTGTTTTTGTTTGGAAATGTTCTTCCAGACAAGTCTGCAGTAATGATCCATGTTGACATATGTACCTTCTTTTGGCTTAACCTTTGAATCATGTATGATGTGGGTAGCAGATTTTGTTGAACATTTCACAACCTCAAATTCCAAGTGAAACACAGGATAAAAGACGTGATTGTTCTATGAGAGTGATGGTTAGAGATTACAAAATTTAACAAGCTGATTTCAGAAGAACAGAATATTTCTGTCTAATTTTTTACAGACTTGTGAACTTAATTGTTGTGTTTTTTGAAAGCTATCTGCAATGCTTTGCTTTCTGATTTGTGTAAAAGATGACAGATGCAAGTTTGGAAATCCCAGTCACCTTAGAGCCCATGATATCATAACTTTCAAGGATTTTATCACAATGAATAAGCTTTCATAAACTACTTCTTAATGATTATCCATTCAAAGCATTTCTTTATGTATAATCTATCGTTAAATTTGGATGGAAAGATAATTTTAAAAAAATTGGAAGTGAGAAAATTAATACAAGCCAGAGGATTCCTAATTTCTGCTTAAGGCACAATAAGGGTACAACATGAGTAATACGAAGTAATATACATAGTAGTGAATTCATCTTGGAATCAGGTGCGACAATGCAGTTGGGGAGCTACAGAGAGTTCGATCAGAACTGGTCTTCGAGAATCGGACATCTTCAAATCTGGAGGTTTGCGGAGCAGATGATGGAGGACAGCTTGCAATCGGCATTCTCGTAACCAAATCTCTGTTTTTGTTTTGCCGGCGGAAAGGATGAGGAAAACCATCTGAAGTGAGTTATCCGAGCGAATCCCTGACGAAATCGAATTGAAATTGAATGAAATCCCAACACATACCTAGGTTCCGCCTGGGCTTGGCGCTCCGTCATCTCGTCCTCGGAATCGACATCCACTTCGATCTTGGTATGGTCTCCAATAGCAACTTTGAGCTCAGGTTTCACAGGAATCTGCTTCCTTTTGAATGCGTTCACCAAGAACTTGAATGCTTTCCAAAAGCATCGCTTGTATACGCCTCTTAGTTCGGCAGAGAAAGTGAAGAAGACGATGTAAATTCCGCTGCCCATTAATGGTAGAGCATCATAAAAGGTGGGCTTGAGCTTGTAAGCTTCGTATTCAATTCCTGAAGACTGGCCAGCGGAAGAGAGTAATTTATCAACGGACGTCTTGGAGATATTGTCATGGTATCTTGACTAGTTCCACTTACGTTGGCCCTGATTTTTTTAACCAAGAAAGGCGAATAACTTCCGCGGACAATTGTTTCGATCATATAGTAAATCGAGAGTGGGACTGCTGCAATAGTGTAAGTGATACATAACCATGCCAGTCTTACAACCGGAAGCTTTGTAGAATGGGTGGGCGAAGCGTTTTTCCATTTCCAGAGGTATAGCTTATAACCAACATAGACTAGTCGATCAATACCACATTAGTTAAACGTTGGCTAAAGTTGGCTTCTTGGAATGGAAGAGGAGAAAAAAAAAGTATGAGGCCCATACCTGTATATCCGGCGGCGATCGTTCCAAATATAGGGGCCCAGATGATGAAAAAGTAGAAGCTTGGCCACGTCAGAACGTATGAGGCTTCGCATCCCATGGTTCGGACAAGTCCAAAGCGACTCGGCGAGTAAAGGTAATGGAACGGGATCATGGCGATGGGGAATCCCAAGCTGAAAAGGTAGTTTCGGATGTTGATTCGTCGACGATCATCATGGCCGAGATTCCTAGCGGATGGAGAGAGCACAAAGGCCAAGAATTTGGCAATGCATAGGCACGAGCATATAGAGCCCGTAGAATATATAAGGATAATCTGTATTACAGATAGTTGAAAACGTTAAGGAATTTAGGTCAGACTGGGCCGGAGTTCGAAGTTCCTGAGTAACCTTACCTGTGAGCTGATATCACACCAAGTAGGTGAGCGATCAATGGCATCCTTCCGCCAGACTGTGGAATTGATCTAAAAGAAGAAATCGAAAGTCAAAAATGATTTTGTCGGGAGACGTGGAGTGATTCGTAACAGTCGGCTTACTGCATGTACCAAGTCGGCTATAGTCACCCATATGCCTAAGGAAGCCACGGCAGATTGTCCATGAATGATGAACCAGACAGTGGGAACGACGGAAAGAGCCGCCGAGACATAACAGGCAGCGAAGAATAGAGTGGTGCCCCAGTAAGTAGGATCACACATTTTATGTGGAAGGAAAACGAGTTAGATGGGTTGGATGGGTTTCGTCTCTCGGGAAGGGAAGAAGTTGTTGGGGATGATGGTATGTTGGGATGGAGCCAGACAGTGAATCGTGCCATTTTTATAGGCGACAGACCGGTCATGATTCTTCAATCCAGACTGAGAAGCCTGCAAGAACTCAGCCCATCACACATAAATTGCTAGCATCGGGTGCAAACGGAAACATAGATCATTAGTCTGAGCTTAAAGGGTCCTTAGTTAACCTCATTGAGCTCATTCTGCCATACTTCCTCAGGGCGGAACAGAACATGATACATGTAAATATGTAGAAGCATAAGCTTGATTGTCAGAACGAGCATTCTGAACGTGTGAGCAATTCCTAGGACTGGGCGACTCAAAGGGAGATCAGCTCGGCTGACGGTGATTGATACGCCTTTGATTTCTTTGGCCCGAGTAACTAGGCGATAGAGTCCAAGTCTACCAAGATTTTTGAGAGATGGACGCCGTTGCGGGCGTGGACTGACTCGATGAACTTTTCGGCAAGAAACGTTTGCACCGGATACAAATCAGTCTCGCTATGGTAGGCTATGGTGCTACGAATCTACATAAATTAAAAATCAAACCTCCGTCAAACCTGACCGAGTCTGCATATTTACATACATACATACAGTACTCAGAATAAAGGGTTGACTTGAGCTTTAGCGCCCAGGGTATGGGGTACTCAGCCGAGCCGTTGGGGACGGAGTACACAGGGCCCTCAGCCAAGTTAGAGAGACAGCCGGGACTTGCAGAGGAGCGGGTAGGGAAGCCTCGTCCGGACACGAAGGATTGCCATCGCCGCTCCGTGGTGGGACTTCGATAAGGTAAGGAACAACCCATTTACAACCAGATCTTCCCCAGGCGGTTCTCCCTTCTCTTCAATCATCTCGATGATGGCCAATGGATAACACATTCTTGTGGGCCAAAATTTTTCAGCACGCGAGGCACGCACTGCATTTGATGGATACTGAAAATTAACTCATCGCTTCTGGTGATTAATGCATGTTGGATGGTGTTGTCCATACATCAATGGTCAAACTGGATCATACGGCACCACAAAGGCCGAGACCTGAGTTGAGGTCTTGAAGGTTGAACTGAACTTCTGAAGGTCTGCTTGGCGGTGCGCTCCTCGGGGACTCACTGAAATCCCCGAGGGCATCACCCGAACCCCCCTAAAACTTAAAGCGCGATCAGTCTTGCCCCGCCAGTCTGGTGCAGTCCACCATTTCCCACCATTTTTACTTTCAGAAAACCAATCCCGTAATATGGAAGGCGACTACACCGACGAGCCCTTGGTTAGCTGTAAGTCCTGCGACAATTTCACTTACTCGCAAATAGACACCTTATTTCTGAACTGACACCAAACGTTTGTTCCACGATTCAGGCGGAAGGCCGTTCCGACATCGCAAGGATGAAATCGATTTGGGTGATCTGGGATTGTGGTCTGTCTCGAGTGCGAAACCAGGTTTCGGAGTTGAGAATTTGAGGGATGACTCTGTACATACTCTTTGGCAGTTCAGTTCACTTCCCCCAGCATTCCTCTGTCCCTTCATCTTGATAGGAAATCCCAACCATCCCTTGGCACCCGGAGTAACACTCAAGAAAAACCCTTCAACATTGTCGTGTATCTTTTCGGTTTATTATGTCTGAAATAAACCTTATTCTTGTACACCATTTTCCAGGTCGGAAGGGCCACAACCTCATTTCATTCGCATAGAGTTTCCCAAAAAGACGATTGTGACGGTGTGTAAAGCGAACATATATTCACTCATCCCACTCAACTGACTTGAGCTGGACAGAGACATAAAACTCTGACTTTGGTATCTCGCATTTTTTTCGGGCAAGAGTAGCAAATCTCTATCTTTGTAGATGTCACATTGGATGATTCATATACTCCCTGCAAGCTCTCGATTTCTTTAGGGACATTCAAGCAGGACCTTCAAGTGGTCAAAATCATTGAACTCATAAATCCCCGCGGATGGCACCACATTCGACTTGTTGATAGAGAGGAAGAGGAGCCGGGGGATGATGATGATGATAGCGATGACTCAGACTCAGGGTTGGTGTTCACTCGTGAACTCTGCGAAGAGTAATCAGATCTTCATTTTGACTGATTCTATTTCTCATGTCCTTCTCCTCTCGGTCACGCGTAGTTTTGCAGCGAAAGGCCATTTATTTCAGGTCGCGATCTTGGCTAACCATCTGAACGGGAAAGACACGCACATCCGGTGCCTCAAGATATTGGGTCCTCGATCGTTCGTAACGTCTCCTATTACTGCAACCTATCCTGAGACTCGACGCTGGTCATCAGAGCTGATCTTTCTAAATCGTTTGCTCTGTTGTGGGACTTTCAAAAAATATAAATAAAAAAATCTTAAAAACATCCATAGACAAAGCAGACAACGCTGGGATGGATTCGGGCCCAATCGCCATGAACTTTTACTAATGCATGAGACCATTAGATAAACTACAAGAAACAAATGTAAAACAAAAAAAACTGACATAAACAAAAACGAGAAAGCTCACAATGTTTAAATTGGATTTCGGAAAATGATGTACAAGTTCCATGTAATTCCCAAGATTTCATAGCGACTCCCCTGCGGCCTCTCTGATCCTGGGTCTTAAACCCATGTTTGCGCAGCACATCCGATAATTAGCGCGAATGTTATTGAGCTGATACAGGAAGTCAGCTTCGTCGGACTCGGGCGGGTTTTGAGTTGGGAAGGCCTCTATGAGCGAGATTAAGTTTTGGATCTTGGCCTTGAGTTTTCCGGTGTTGTCCTGGGTGGCCCACCATATTTGAGCTTGTCCTAAGTAGTATCCCAATTCCTCCCATAGCTTGAGCCCTTCTTTGTCTCCTAATTGGTAGCCCTCCAACTTTCCGGCCTCTTGACCATCTCTAACGCCAAGCTGATAACCTGCTTCAAAAAATCTATGGTGGGTTCGAATCAGCTGCCGAATCACTCACATGCGCTGCATTGATGACTGTGTGATTCAAACCGGAACGCACTGCTCTTCCAGGTGATTGAGTGAATCGATTGAGTCCATCGTGTCGAATTGTTTTCTGAGCCGTCCTGACCCGGCCCTACCTTCAAGTCACAGCTCAGTTTCATAGATATGCTTATAAGCGGGTATGCATATCACAGACCCAGATATCGTGAAAGGTCGGGCCGAGGGTAAAATGTTTGAACCCAAAACAGAGTTTTTGAGCATTTCTCAACCTCTTGGGGCATTTTTTGTTCTCTTGGGATGGGAAAAGAGGGGGCTGGGAGGATGAGGGTAGTACCAGTCATGTTTCATGCAAAGA